AATTTTGGCATTTAATTCTTGGGGAATTCTACCCCCAATCTTATAATAATATTATACATGTAGTATTTTACGACAGTATGTTTCAGCTTCTCTCATATCGTTGAGGGTCTAGCTAACATATTCAGCTTCTCTCATATCGTTGAGGGTCTAGCCGTAGTCGTTGAATATTCCATTTCTCATGCAGCTTCTCCAGGGTCGCTCGCAGAGTCTAGTAGCTTCTCTGGAATCGTCCAGGGTCTAGTTGCTTCTCTGTATCTTTGGAGTCTTGCTCGATCATGTAACTAGCTACTCTGGGACACCTCAGAGTCCAGATTCTTTAAATTTTAAATATCCTATTAGTAAGTTTAATCGTTTTGGTATAGAGTGAGTAGCCCCTGATACGCCAAACTTGTAGCTTGTATGTATTATAACTGTAGTAATAAACAGGTTAAACTGTTCTTGCGTGTTTAGTTGTATATAAATACACAAATTATGGTCGGATAATGGCGGTTATCGAACTCGTCCGAGCTTTCATGGAAATTAACCTTGTGGTGAAGTTTGAAGTTAATCCGTTAACAATTACTTGAGATATCGAGCTGACATCGTTCGTTCGCCCGCCCGAACGATGTAAATAATATGTTTACGATTGAAAAATACTTACAGTGAATGTATTTTGTGTAATCTTGGTCGCTACTTTTCACTGGATACCAAAACATGTCCGTGAAGGGTGTTAAAATGACTGCGATTTATTATTCATAAATAAAATATTTAAAGTGTAATTAATATAAGGGAAAAAATCAGGACTTTGCTGTAAGTTGGACACATTGAGAAATTCAAATCTTTAAACTTTGATTCATAGAAGTTTGAGCGTAGTATTTTGTAATAACACTACCAAATAGCTTGCTTCGTCAGATATCCCACAGGTAATAAGTGATCATTGAATGGTTAAAATACATACCTAGGTGTCCCTGTGGAGCCCCACCATTTCATACAAAAATATCTCATATTGTGTTTGACATTCACTGTTATATACTTACGAATACAGTCGACAATGGATGTAGCCCCTGAGAAGACCTTGGTTGTTTTTCCGGCGCCACATGATTTACATTCGGTTTGACCCTTTTCATCCTGGTATTTAGCTTTTTCACAGCTGACGCATGCACCATCCTTCTGGTATGTTCCAACATCACATAAATCTGAACGAGATCATTGAGAAGTATTTTAAAATTCCTCCATGAGGAACAGTACACCACACGGTTGAGTGACTTTACACACTGGGTGAAGTGTACACTGACCAAGAAAGTCGTCTGACAGAGTTTTATTATTTAAGTTCTACCTAATGACAATATAATGCATTTTTCTGCATTTCTTTTCCCCATCAGTATGTAATTTCATGTGAACAATGGCATCTTTAGACTTGTCCTGACTAACATATTAATCTTATTTATTGACTTGATTTGGACAAGCCCACTGCCCTCTGTCAACTCCTATAGACCTGTCCTGAATAACATATTGATCTTATTTATTGACTTAACTTGGACACACCCACTGGCCTCTGTCATCCCCTACAATCCTGTCCTGCGTAATGTATTGATCTTATTTATTGACATGATTTGGACAAGCCCACTGCCCTCTGTCATCTTCTATAGACCTGTCCTGAATAACATATTGATCTTATTTATTGACTTTACTTGGACACACCCACTGCCCTCTTTCGTCCTCTACAGACCTGTCCTGTGTAATGTATTGATCTTATTTATTGACTTAACTTGGACACACCCACTGGCCTCTGTCATCCCCTACAATCCTGTCCTGTGTAATGTATTGATCTTATTTATTGACATGATTTGGACAAGCCCACTGCCCTCTGTCATCTTCTATAGACCTGTCCTGAATAACATATTTATCTTATTTATTGACTTTACTTGGACACACCTTCTGCCCTCTTTCGTCCTCTACAGACCTGTCCTGTGTAATGTATTGATCTTATTTATTGACTTTACTTGGAAACACCCACTGGCCTCTGTCATCCCCTACAGACCTGTCCTGCGTAATGTATTGATCTTATTTATTGACTTAACTTGGACACACACACACACTGGCCTCTGTCATGTCCTACAGACTTGTCCTGTGTAGTGTAAGTGATCTTATCTTATTTATTGACTTAACTTGGACACACCCACTGCCCACTTTCGTCCTCTACAGACCTGTCCTGTATACATACCTAAGGAACAGGCAGTAGAGGAAGTTGATGCTGCGGATGTTGTAGTTTTCAAGGGTGGACAAGATGTACAGTTTATGACTGTCGTTTGGTCAGCTTTCCAATTTCCAACCTGAGACTTATAGGTTCCCAGGCCACAGGCAACACACACTCTGCTAGTTGTGTTATACTCATAGCCAGGGCTGCAGTTGTCTAGATTACAAATAAATAAAATAATTACAAAAATAGATCATGGATAGAACAAATTCTAATTCATTGCAATAGTGAACTTAAGTTCCTTCAAATCACCTATTGCCTACTGTGGAAGGGGTAAATATAATACTTTAACTTATAAAGGGAAATACCACTTATGGCTATATTTTAATCTTTACTCATTTTGCATTTTCACAGCTTTTTGTGCCAAGTGAACTAATAGACTGGTAAACTCCTTAATTGACCTTATCCTGTAGCTTGCCATTACCTACCCACACAGTCAGACTGTAAATCTGTGCCAGTGGTCCGGGTGGTGTATGTCCCAGGGGAACAAGGAATACAGTTACTCTCTCCTTGATTTGGTTGGTACTGGCCAATGGGACAGACCTCACAACTATTAGTAATTGCAATCCTCTTCTGTCCAGCTGGACATACAACTACAATCAAATAAACAGAGGATTTTAGAATATATATGTTACCTTGTATGTTGTACCTCTAGAAACCTTCTGTTGAATATTTCTAATCAGCATCATCTATTGATTTTAGTATTTCCCAAGTTTTATCAAACCGATAAAATTAAGGCAAATTCACTGTAGACCTCGATAACGTTGTGAAGCTACAGACACAGCTATGTACATGGTTATCAAACCATGAGACAGATTGGTCACCCTATATCAACAGATAGCCCAGCTTGTCTAACAGACACTAGTAGCATAGAAATGTTTTCGTATAGTATAGCTTGAGTCGACACACAACTTTGCAAAAATGTCATAACTTAATACATTGATAGAACGATGCCCCATAGTAATGGATTGTCTCGAAATCAAACACACTCAGCGCAAATTTAATTACTTATTCGTAAGTGAGATATCAAATTCTATCAACTTTAGAAAACTGATCTCTTTCACAATGTGACAAATATCAAAAGCATTATTTGTCATAGTGTGGAAATATCACTTTTAGAATTGGTCAATCAAAATAGCACTTTCTAGTCACTTCATTTAAAGCCACAGATATTCTTTACAGATATAAATAAAGTTATTGATGCAGTAATATCTTCATTGTCGTAGGTAGTGTTATGATGTTAGAAAATATCTTCTTTAACTCAAGATCAAACAATACTTTGTACATGTAGTAATGTAAAGCACAAGAGACAACAAGGGGGAAATCTATGCCCATCCCACGCCAATCTGGCAAAACTTAAAATCCTTCTGATGCATTAGTGTATCTTAATATATGAAAACATGGAAATGTAAGGAGAAGAAACACCATTTGTAATGTTTTATGCAGTGAAGTCAAGAACTGTTCCTGGAATGCAGTGAACGGAGAAACATACTGTACCTGACCAACCTAGGCTCAAGGTAATATTAAACATAAATATTTACCAGGTTTTGACTGACATATAAAACCTGCCTTACTTTGTAGTTGTTCGTTATAAATACCATACTGGCAATTTTTCACATAACTGCCTATGCCTCTATTTTTAATGAAACATGTTAATACACAAACCATGCTACACTGGCATACCTATTGAAACTGTATTGATTTACATGGCTGACTTGCATTTTAACAACCTATGACCTTAATATCATTGATGCTAACATTGTAGGTATTAGTGTTTGTAGCCCACTTTTTATGTTAATTTCTATGGTGTTTTAATACTGGTAATTGCATGTACGTAATTTTATTTCTCCCACAATCACTATAGGTTTCCTCACTCCCGATTCATTGGATAAACCTGCTAGGATTGGAGTTGGTAAATATTTTTGGTTACCCACTAGTGGGTAACACCCTGGATGTGATTTCATTGCTCAATATTTGACATCATGATTCACGGCAATTGTTTCTCCCCCATCGGAAGCCAACATAGTGTATTTTCAAGGGAAACATATGGAGAAAAAGGACCCCAAACTCGTGATGGTTGATTATCATGTTTATCTAACTCAAGTTAGCTAATTTTCAACTTGTAAAAGACACTCGGTAAACCTCGTGCCTTTATACAATTTGAAGATTAACTAACTCGAGTTAGATACACATGATACCCTACCATCACTTGCATGGGAACCTCTATAGAACTAATATGAGAAATGGAAAATTACAACTTACCAACAGTACATACGTCTCCGGAAGTGGCTCCGGTAATTGCCGTGGTAAAACCTGTGCCACACGTCGTACAGTTAGTATTCCCAACGGTGTCCTTGTAGGAGCCAATGGGACATTGCTGACAGGACTGGTTTGTTGAATCGTAGTACTCTCCTTTCACACAATGGACTGAAATATGTATGAAAAAGAGACACATTCAAAATCAGTATGTAAGTAATTATAGATTATCAAACAGCATTTTCAGTGTTTGTCATGAGAACAATTTTCTCATTGCTCGCACATGGATAACATCTCGAGTGTTTATCATCCATATTCTACTACCTTAAAAAAGGTAGACTTAAAATCATATTTTCTAAATGACCTCTAGACTCAATGATCATCGATCTCAAGTCCTCGGTGTGTGACAAACGTAAACAAATAGATGGTTTGCACTGAAGAATACCATGAACATTGACAAATATAAACAAATAGAAGATTTGCATGGAAGAGTACGTCATTTTACAATCTTATCATCACTTAAAATAGTGTTGTTATCCCCACAAAATTTTGTTCGTAACATTGTATTGATTTGTTAATGAAGGACTATTTTCTTACGCAGTAAACCTTTGTGTTGGCACTATTTCCAGTTCAGGGCATCACTGGGGGAAAGCAGACAATCTTTTTTGAGAAAATATGTTTCCAAATTGGAAAATCTGTTTTCAAGTTCTAATCAAGTCATTCTTAACTTCTTCTTGAGTATTCTCATATTGACAACCCATGCTAATGAATTTACCATGTTATAAAGTGGTATATAGATGACAATTATCTTTCTTAAACCTTTCCACATATCAAAACTGAAGCAATTTTTCAAGTGTGTTTAATGTTTTCAAAAAAATAAAAGACAGATCAAGTCTCAACTAAATATTCATTTTTACAGCAAAATTTACAAAAATAACAATGGCTTTACCCCAGCTACAATCTGATGACATTCACTTCTTAAAGACATATACTGTCCACAGATTCGTGTGTTTGGTTCTGTTATTCACGGTCTAACTAATGGTCATTGATGACAGGTTGTGTTATTCATAGTCTAACTAATGGTCAGTGATGACAGGTTCTGTTATTCACGGTCTAACTAATGGTCAGTGATGACATGTTGTGTTATTCAAAGTCTTACTAATGGTCAGTGATGACAGGTTGTGTTATTCAGTCTAACTAATGGTCAGTGATGACGTGTTCTGTTATTGAGGCTAACTAATGGTCAGCGATGACATGTTGTGTCATTCACAGTCTAACTTATAGTCAGTAATGACAGTTTCTGTTATTCACAGTATAACTAATGGTCAGTGATTACATGTTGTGTTATTCAAAGGCTTACTAATGGTCAGTGATGGCAGGTTGTGTTATTCACGGTCTACCTAATGGTCAGTGATTACATGTTCTGTTATTCAATTTAACTAATGGTCAGGGATGACAGGTTCTGTTATTCACGGTCTACCTAATGGTCAGTGATGGCAGGTTGTGTTATTCACTCTAACTAATGGTCACTGCTAGGATTGGAGGTGGTAAATATTTTTGGGTACCCACTAGTGGGTAACCAAAAATATTTACCACCTCCAATCCTAGCAGTGACCATTAGTTAGATTCTGACCAATAGTTAGACTGTGAAGAACAGAACATGACATCACTGACCATTATTAGTTAGACTGTGGATAACAGAACATGTCAACACTGACCATTAGTTTGACTGAATAACAGAAAATGTCATCACTGACCTTTAGTTAGACTGTGAAGAACAGAACATGACATCACTGACCATTATTTACAGTCTAACTAATGGACAGTGATGACATGTTATGTTATTCCCAGTCTAACTAATGGTCAGTGATGACATGTTGTATTATTTACAGTCTAACTAATGGTCAGTGATGACATGTTCTGTTGTATTATTCACAGTCTAACTAATGGTCAGTGATGACATGTTCTGTTATTCACAGTCTAACTAATGGACAGTGATGACATGTTGTGTTATTAACAGTCTTACTAATGGTCAGTGATGAGAGATTGTGTTATTCAGTCTAACTAATGGACAGTGATGACATGTTCTGTTGTATTATTCCCAGTCTAACTAATGGTCAGTGATGACATGTTGTTTTATTCACAGTCTAACTAATGGTGAGTGATGACATGTTGTGTTATTCACAGTCTTACTAATGGTCAGTGATGAGAGGTTGTGTTATTCAGTCTAACTAATGGTCAGTGATGACAGATTATGTTATTGACAGTCTAACTAATGGTCAGTGATGACAGGTTGTGTTATTCACAGTCTAACTAATGGACAGTGATGACAGGTTCTGTTATTCAATCTAACTAATGGTCAGTGATGACATGTTCTGTTATTCAGTCTAACTAATGGTCAGTGATGACATGTTGTGTTATTCACAGTCTTACTAATGGTCAGTGATGACAGGTTGTGTTATTCAGTCTAACTAATGGTCAGTGATGACAGGTTATGTTATTCACAGTCTGACATGTTCTGTTATTCAGTCTAACTAATGGTCAGTGCTAACTAATGGTCAGTGATGACAGGTTATGTTATTCACAGTCTAACTAATGGTCAGTGATGACATGTTATGTTATTCACAGTCTTACTAATGGTCATTGATGACAGGTTCTGCTATTCACAGTCTAACTAATGGTCATTGATGACAGGTTCTATTATTCACAGTCTAACTTATAGTCAGTAATGACAGGTTCTGTTATTCACAGTCTAACTAATGGTCAGTAGTGACATGTTCTGTTATTCACAGTCTAACTAATGGTCAGTGATGACATGTTATGTTAGTCACAGTCTTACTAATGGTCATTGATGACAGGTTATATTATTCACAGTCTAACTATTTGTCAGTGATGACATGTTGTGTTATTCAGTCTAACTAATGGTCAGTAGTGACATGTTCTGTTATTCACAGTCTAACTAATAGTCAGTGATGACAGGTTCTGTTATTCACAGTCTAACTATTGGTCAGTGATGACAGGTTGTGTTATTCACAGTCTAACTAATGGACAGTGATGACAGGTTCTGTTATTCAGTCTAACTAATTGTCAGTGATGACATGTTGTGTTATTCACAGTCTAACTAATGGTCACTGATGACAGGTTCTGTTACTCACGGTCTAACTAATGGTCAGTGATGATATGTTCTGTTATTCAGTCTAACTAATGGTCAGTGATGACAGGTTCTGTTATTCAGTCTATCTAATGGTCAGTGATGACAGGTTCTGTTATTCACGGTCTAACTAATGGTCAATGATGACATGTTGTGTTATTCACGGTCTAACTAATGGTCAGTGATGACAGGTTCTGTTATTCACAGTCTAACTAATTGTCAGTGATGACAGGTTCTGTTATTCAGTCTAACTAATGGTCAGTGATGACATGTTCTGTTATTCACAGTCTAACTAATAATGGTCAGTGATGACATGTTGTGTTATTCACAGTCTAACTAATTGGCAGTGATGACAGGTTCTGTTATTCAGTCTAACTAATGGTCAGTGATGACAGGTTCTGTTATTCAGTTTAACTAATGGTCAGTGATGACAGGTTCTGTTATTCAGTCTTACTATTGGTCAGTGATGACAGGTTCCATTATTCAGTCTAACTAATGGTCAGTGATGACATGTTGTGTTATTCACAGTCTAACTAATGGTCAGTGATGACAGGTTCTGTTATTTATACTAACTAATGGTCAGTGATGACAGGTTCTGTTATTCATTCTAATTATTGGTCAGTGATGACAGGCTCTGTTATTCAGTCTAACTAATGGTCAGTGATGACAGGTTCTGTTATTCAATCTAACTAATGGTCAGTGATGACAGGTTCTGATATTCAGAGTTTAGCTAATGGTCAGTGATGACAGGTTCTGTTTTTCACAGCCTAAATATACCATGAACAACAATTAAGTATATACAAGATTTTCAAGTAGAAAGATTGAACTGTAACCAAATAAAATGATAAGATAAGTGTTACATAATTTGTACATCAAATACAGGCCTATGTTGGTGATTTAATGGGAAGTGTTCTATTAAATGATGCCTTATGTGTGTATAGCTACAGTACTCACGCTGGTCACAGTTACTCTTGTCTGTGGAGGCTTCACCACTTGTGGTAAAGCCAGGGGGACAGGTAACACAGAGTGTTGCTCTTCCTCGTGCTTCTTTGTATTCCCCTTGTTTACAGGGGTCACATCTGGCAGGTGAAGAAGTCCCATTGTACTGAAAGCCCTTATCACAGAACACTGAAATAACAAGGGACTCAATTTGATGAAATGAATGAGGTATAGGCAACATCAAGGTACCTGGACTGGATACAGTTTTTAAATTGATCATGTATGAACACAAAAATGAAAAAGCATCACAATTCTTCATAATAACAAACAAGATTTTTGTTGAAACAATATTATTGTAAGATGGAACCTTGATGTGACTGGTCAGTTCCCTCAAATTTTCTATTATCCAATCCAATACTAGCCTGAGGTACTGTTTCAAGTTACATTTTCAACAGTAAACTAGAAATATGTCAGGGTCACATCAATGCTACCCATTTGATTTTGAAAACAAGAGGCCCAGAGGGCCAGTATCGCACACCTTGATAATTAAAGGATCTTGTCCCTGATTTTTCTTTTCTTTATATTTTATGCTCATGTGATTCAATAACAAATGACGTTATCTATCAGATGAAAGACAGACAAGGTAACCACCGTCTACATCAGTCTAGTGAACATTTTGAGGGCAGTACAAGGTCATGTGATATGTAACACCATAGGACTTTTTCATGTGATAAGTTATTCATTACCCATCCACAAGCAACATGCTATTTTCAATTTACATGTATTTTCAGCATAACTGCATAGTTAACCTGAATAACATAATAGCTTATGACATCCAAAAAGAGGATCAAGGTTAGTTTGGAAATTAAGTTCAAATCTGACCAGTAGTTTGAGAGATGGCCTCTGGGAGGGCAGGTTGCTTTATTGTATATCTGCCCAGTAGTTTGACAGATAGCCTCTGGGCGGGAAGGTTGCTTTATACTATAACTGCCCAGTAGTTTGAGAGATCGCCTTTGGGAGGGCAGGTTGCTTTATTGTATATATGCCCAGTAGTGTTACAGATGGCCTCTGGAAGGGCAGATTGCTTTATTGTATATCTGCCCAGTAGTTTGACAGATAGCCTCTGGGAAGACAGGTTGCTTTATACTATATCTGCCCAGTAGTTTGAGAGATGGCCTCTGGGAGGGCAGGTTGCTTTATACTATATCTGTCCAGTAGTTTGAGAGATGGCCTTTGGGAGGGCAAGTTGCTTTATCATATATCTGCCCAGTAGTTTGACAGATAGCCTCTGGAAGGGCAGGTTGCTTTATTGTATATCTGCCCAGTAGTTTGAGAGATGGCCTCTGGGAGGGCAGGTTGCTTTATACTATATCTGCCCAGTAGTTTGACAGATAGCCTTTGGGAGGGCAGGTTGCTTTATACTATATCTGTCCAGTAGTTTGAGAGATGGCCTTTGGGAGGGCAGGTTGCTTTATACTATATCTGTCAAGTAGTTTGAGAGATGGCCTTTGGGAGGGCAAGTTGCTTTATACTATATCTGCCCAGTAGTTTGACAGATGGCCTTTGGGAGGGCAGGTTGCTTTATACTATATCTTCCCAGTAGTTTGACAGATAGCCTTTGGGAGGGCAGGTTGCTTTATACTATATATTCCCAGTAGTTTGACAGATAGCCTTTGGAGGGCAGGTTGCTTTATACTATAACTTTTTATTCCAATGGGCTAGGAATGCTTCCACTATAATTGGGTTAAAACCTTTCTTGCAGTTCGGGAGGACCAAATAGCCCCCTGCAGTATGTATTTTACTAAAATTCTGTCTAACAATTCAGAAATAAATGTTATGTTAAGCAAATCAGCCAATTTGATCTCTCTGCCTAGAAAAAGGTCAGCCTTTTACCTTGTAAAATTTTTGATCCTCCATGAGATAAGCATGATACCATTACAATTTGGCTGAAATCTACGTACTAGTTTTGAAGATATCATTTATAAACACATGCCCTGCTGAGCCTTTGCATTAAATTTTTGATATACTTACAAACGTCACATGATATTCTATTTTCGTTGGAAGTAAAGTTTGCAAAGCTTTCCTCACAGGATACACAGTTGGAAAGACCAGCTTGTGGTTTTATTGTATCAAGTGGACATTTCTGACACGTAGTCGAACCAGCCAGTCCAGGACCACACCAAACTGAAACAAGAATATGAGGCTGTAAGATACCCTGTCAGTAGTCATGGTAACGTAGGTATACAGGTGTCACTCGGGTACACAACAGTTCCTGGTAACTGAGGGGAAATTGCAAAATGTATCAGGTATTGTGACACATTAGATTCTGACAAGAGCAGTTCACAAGAAAGGAATTACAATCTAGAATATCAGACAGAATTTTTTAATAATGACTTTTAGGCATATTAATAGGTCACTTTGATACCTCTCGGTCTAAAACATAAAAAAAGTCCTATTGAAGTCAATCGTCATAAATAGATAGTAATAATATACAACATTTATATAGCACCCTTAGTATAATTTGCAATATTACTCTCAGGCGCTTTACGACACATGAATTATAGCATTCCTACTGTGATAGTTATAAATATACAGTAGTAGATGAAAACAAGTAGTAATCAGCATGAAACATTAGGTAACAAAATATTTATCTCCATATGCATATAAATATACTATAACTATATTGTATATGTATTATACTGTAATACATATAGTAGTATATAATACATATGTGTCTTGAAAAAGGAGCGGATCGCTCCGAAAATTTGACAACCTAAACTTGTCCACACTGTTGGAATTACTTCTTTGCCCCATATTATACTATAATGCATATACATATATATATAGGGTCTTGAGGCCAGATCTTTCTATCCTCCTTGAAGTTAGCCATATCTTTCGAACCTCCTTGAAGTTAGCCAGATCTTTCTATCCTCCTTGAAGTTAGCCAGATCTTTCTATCCTCCTTGAAGTTAGCCAGAGTGTCTGACTTAGCAGATGGTAGGCTTTTCCACAATGTGGCTGAAACCCTTCCAAAGCACCGGTTTCCATAGGTCACAGCACAAGATTTTGGGACACATAACAAGGATTCTGTCTCCGATCACAGTTACCATGGGGCTGGAACAAGCTCTTGTAAACACTGAGAAGCTATTCAATTCAGTACCTTGTATGTGTACACCAAAATTTTGTACTACGACCTGCCGGTAATCAGTGCAATGAATATAATACAGGTGTGATGAGCTCTCTCTTTCGAGTACGAGTAACCAGATGTGCTGCAGTGTTCTGGACCCTCTGCAGACAACTAGATATTTTGTCATTGACGAAATCTGGTATGGAAATTTCACTGAATTTCTGGAAGCTGATCTCCTTCCTTGCTACAATTTAGTGTTGCTTGGACAGCAAGATGATCACCAGATTGGTTCCCCTTACAACATCACTTAGACATGGATCCCTCACTAAAATTGTTTCATGAATGACCAAGCTATTTTCCCCTGTAATGACAACATCTAGTGTTTGGCCATGGGTGTGTGAAGCTTCTGTCACATGTTATATCAGACCCACAGAATCAAAAACCTAACCAGGTTTCTGTTATTGTCAGAATATCAATGTCCTGAGATGTTACAAAATCCCTGATGGGCAATGACTTGTCCTTCATCAAGGACCTAAGGATAAACTATAGTACAATCTAAGAGAAAGAATGGTCCAATACTTTCTGTGAAATAGTGATAACAAATTTTGACACTGAAATCTAAGATGGTAACCTGTCGGCTATATTGATCTTCAAATCCACGAACAATTGTTACTGATTTGTTGCACAACTAGGATGCAAGGGTAACGTGTACAAAATTTGAGACAAAAAATTGTCAAGTACTTCTGAGAAATAGAGACAACAAGATTTTTTTATAGATAAACTACAGATGAAACATTATTTGTGAAGTCCACCATCTGTTGGTGATTGGCTGAAAAGGGGTATGGAGTAAATGTCTTAAAAAAGCATGTACAAAACAAGAGGCGCAGAGGGCTTGTATTGCTCACCTGTTTCTTTTGTTACATGAAATTTTTGACATATAGGTAACCTCAGACCAAATTTGGTAACTAGAACACAAGACATTTTAAACATCTCTTAAATGGTTCTTAAGATCTTGTTGTTTGAAATTTGAAATTTGAATTTTAAAGCTTTCAACCCATGTTGACCTTTGACTCCAGCTAGCACTTAAAGTTGACCTTTGACCTCATTACTGTAATAAAGAAAAAGATTTGCACTGCTGGTCTACATAACATACCCAAGTATCATGACTCTAGTCAAAATAGTTCTTAGGATGTTGTTGTTAAAAGTTTTTAACATATCTGACCCCTGTGACCTTGAAACTAGGTCAAGGTCATTTTAACGAGGAAAGCTTATAGCACTCCATCCCAGGTACCTACTGGTCAAATGTCGTGACCCTAGGTCCCCCAGTTCTTCAGAAGAAGTTGTTCAAAAGAAACATTTGACGGACGGACGGACAGACAGATGACGCAGTACGGCATAACCTCACATTGGACCTTCGGGCCAGGTAAGCTTAAAATAATTTGACACACGAGAGGTAAATGTAACACTTGCAATATGTTGGATGTTAAGGACTTACTTTGACAGTCCGACTCCATAGTTCTACCAGTTTCGGATGTGTTCTGGTTGGAGCCACAATCTTTACAACTAGCTTGATAGCGGTCGGGCTGGTATGTTCCCAGAGGACAAAGCAAACAGTTATCTCCAGATATGTAAGAGCCTGGATCACAATCCACTACAAAACAATACAATCAAATCAGTCAACAAGCAAAATAGCATTTCCAAAAAAAAAATTTAAAAAAATACAAATGATTATGTTTGATTTTATAGTTCTGATGAGTTTGTATCTTAAAGAAGTGTGATTAATATTCGTTAAATTTCACAATGTCTACTTACTTCAATTGCTGCAGACATCGCTAACAAAATGGATAAAAGTCGGGTCAAATCATTTTAAATTATTTTCAGCAATATGTTAAACTTCATTTTCTAGATACCCAAATTAAGGCTTCAGTTTTCAGTCCAGTGTGTTGCCTTTGTGCCAAGTGAAAACATCATTCTGCCAATTGCAATTTCATTCAACTGTTCTCAGCATCTACATGTTTGTTACATGTACTTATCAACCACTATCAATTTAAAATGAACGTGTGAGGCAGTACTTTGGGTATCAGATTAGCAGAGGAGGTGAGGCGGTACTTTGGGTATCAGATTAGCAGAGGAGGTGAGGCAGTACTTTGGGTATCAAATTAGCAGAGGAGGTGAGGCAGTACTTGGGTATCAGATTAGCAGAGGAGGTGAGGCAGTACTTTGGGTATCAGATTAGCAGAGGAGGTGAGGCAGTACTTTGGGTATCAGACTAGCAGAGGAGGTGAGGCGGTACTTTGGGTATCAGATTAGAAGAGGAGGTGAGGCAGTACTTTGGGTATCAGATTAGCAGAGGAGGTGAGTCAGTACTTTGGGTATCAGACTAGCAGAGGAGGTGAGGCGGTTCTTTGGGTATCAGATTAGAAGAGGAGGTGAGGCAGTACTTTGGGTATCAGATTAGAAGAGGAGGTGTAACTTTCAAAGTCTTCATCATAAAGCTTAACATAGGATGTACATCTGTGACCCTCTTTCACCAAGATTGCTGTTAATGAATTATTTTTTAAATTTCAATTTGATTATTTATGTGTTTAATATACAATTGTGCCGATTATAAAAACAATTCCAGCATAGTTATGTTTCAAACCACACATTTAGAATTCAACTTTTTTTTTCTTAAACTAAATTCTTCAAAATAGCCTAGCAAGGTAATTTTTTTGTTTATTCATTTAAAGAACAGCTAGTTATTAGAGGCGTTGGTAAATACCAGTACAAATCTTGTGTAAATGAATTGATTGGTTAACTTAAATGTGAGAAATTATCAAAACAGCCATGATCTGTTTGTTGTTTGTATTTTACTTCCTATTAACAGCCATGGTCATTGAAGGACATGCCAGGTTTTGTTAGTGGAAGAAAGACGGAGCTACCCTGAGAAAACCAATCAACCTGCAGTCAGTACTTGGTGACTACCCTATGAAGGCCTCAAACCTGTAACCTACTGGTGGAGGGCAAGTGATCGTAGATATCTAGGTGCCTTAACCACTTGGCCATCGCGGTCCCTCAAAACAGCCATGAAAAACAGTAAAGGAAAATGAATACTTACATACAGTACAGTTACTTAAATCAGTACTGCTTCCACCAGTTGTAGTGTAGTTAACAGGACAGGAAGCACACTGCTGGAATTTCATTGTCTCGTTAGCATTGTTCCAGGTACCTTTGTCACATGGTTCACACTGGTCAGACACATTGTTGTACTGCTGGCCAGCACTACACACACCTGAAAGGACAAATAACATACTTATTCTGCTGGCCTGCACTATACACACACCTGAAAGGACAAACAACATATTTAATTCTGCTGGCCTGCACTACACACACCTGAAAGGACAAACAAACAAAGAATCCCCTCTTGGGTTGAGATTCCCCTATCCCCAAGGGGGTGAGAGATTGTGTTTGGCAACTAAAGAATCTTTCCCCCTGAGGGTTGAGATTTCTAATCTCACCTCAAAGGAGTGAATGATTCTTTTTCTCAGACCCTGTTCACCCATTGTGCATCATATACATAATGTTATGTTAACGTTGATGTTATGTCATACAATTGTTATTAACAGGGAATTCCTCCCGTCTCAACCCTAGGGTGAGACAAGTATATCTAACACTGGGAAAAGTGTTGATACACCTGTCCAGGGTAAGAGAATCTATTCGTCTGTGATGTTTGTTACTGATAGTAACAGCTTTTTAGGTTTTTACTTACGGACACAACTGTCCTCTGAGGTCTGTCCATCGTCCATTGTGGCTTTGTTTGAAGGACATTTAGTACATGTCACAGCTGAGTTTGGATAGGTAATGGGTTGGTAGCTGCCTTTGGGACATCGTTCACAATTGCCAGCAGAGTTAAGAACCTCTCCAGCTGAACACATATCTGAAAATAAAATAAATATTAAGTAATTACTTTTGATAAATGCTTTTGAAGTCATAAATATGTTTATGGATAAGAATACCACAGTATGTTAAAATTACGCCTGTGAAACCAGTTATTTCAACATTGAGGACCTTCACTCTTCACTTAAACAGTACATTTCATTCTTAATAATTGGTCTTCATAGACATCATCACTTTTATCATATCTGCCATATATGGTCATTGTTTTTTGTTTTTGTTTTGGATATATTGAACTTTCATAAAATTGAAGTTCATTGATGATGATTGTAGATATACTGAAACTTCAAAAAATTATCAGTAAACTTTTAATGTGATATAAATGCCATTATTTACCTCCTCTATAACAATGGTACTTGTAACAAATAAAACAGGTTAAAACAGTTCTCTACCAAATAATACTGGCAGAAGCAGTAGGTACTTAAACCAATAGTACTGGTTGAAGCATAACTTTAACCAATAGTACAGATTGAAGCAGTACTTTAACCAAAAGTACAGATTGAAGCAGTACTTTAACCAATAGTGCAGATTGAAGAATAACTTGAACAAACCAATAGTACTGGTTGAAACAGTTCTTAAACACATCATACAGATTGAAGCTGCATTACTTAACTCATTGACCCCTGAAGTTCCATAGTGAACTATTCCAACCTTTGAATTGGAAGGGTTCAAATGTGTCTTCAGGGGTAAATGAGTTAAACCAATAGTACAGATTGAAGCATAACTTTAACCACCAGTATTAGTTGAAGCATAATAACTTATTCAACAGTACTGGTTGAAGCAGTACTTAAACAAATAGTCCAGTTTGAAGCATTGCTTTAACCAACAGTACTGGTTGAAGCATAACTTTAACCAACAGTACTGGTTGAAGCAGTACTTAAAACCAATAGTATATATAGATTGAAGCAGTACTTTAACCAATAGTAGATGTTGAACAGTACTTTAACCATTAGTACAAATTGAAGCAGTACTTTTACCATTAGTACAAATTGAAGCAGTACTTTAACCATTAGTACAAATTGAAGCAGTACTTTTACCATTAGTACACATTTGAACTAGTACTATTACTCTTACTTCCCTTTAATCTACTACCACAACCTTAAAGATTTGTTTTTACTCATCTGTTTTTTGTTGGAGGGTGACAAGCTACTTACCAATAGAACAGTTCACGCTACTAATGCTGCCTGGCCCTTCTGTAGTTCTGCCATTGCTACAGTTCATGCATGGTGCGAAGTACTTTGTACGGTCTTCGATGGAGCGATAAGTGCCCCTTGCACAAGGAACACACATGTCCTGATCATTTAACTCGGTACCAGGTTCTTTACAATAACCTACAAAATCACAAGAAAATGAAAGAAATTGTACACCAAGACTCAAGAATTGAAAATATTGCAAATTAATTGGGAAAATGACAAGATATTACTGATGAAACATGACTGTCCAACCTAATTACATTAAACTAAATTTGAAACATTAATGCACATTTAAATAAAATGTCAGAAATTTGTTATTTTTATTAAAGTTCATCAAGAATAAAAAACAAAAACACAGAGTATTTAATGCAGTCTGACTGATGTTTACAGGCAGTGTTACCAGTGAATATATATGATGTTTACAGGCAGTGATACCAGTGAATATGTCTGATGTTTACAGGCAGTGATACCAGTGAGTATATATGATGTTTACAGGCAGTGATACCAGTGAATATGTCTGATGTTTACAGGCAGTGTTACCAGTGAATATATCAGATGTTTATATGATGTTTACAGGCAGTGTAACCAGTGAATATTTATGACGTTTACAGGCAGTGATACCAGTGAATATGTCTGATGTTTACAGGTAGTGTTACCAGTGAATATATCTAATGTTACAGGTAGTGTTACCAGTGAATATATCTAATGTTACAGGTAGTGTTACCAGTGAATATATCTAATGTTACAGGTAGCGATACCAGTGAATTTAGCTAATGTTACAGGTAGTGATACCAGTGAATATATCTAATGTTACAGGTAGTGATACCAGTGAAAGACATATGATGGCTGACTCACGTTTACAGTCGTTGTTACTGGTGGATTTCATGTTGTCTGTGGCTTTGTTGGAATCACAAGGCTTACATTTTTCCACAGATTTTGGCATTTCAATATCCTGGTAAAAATCGTAGGGGCAGTCCAGACAGGCACCAGTGTTGTTTAACTCCTGTCCCTTACTACAAATATCTGAAGAAAAAAATATTAGGGTAAAAAATCTGCTTTGTTGCCAACATAAGCAATGAATATTAGATCATAAATGCCATAATAACCATATCGACATATTTAACGTCACGTTTACACAAGCATTTAGGTCATAAGATGCTTGTGGGGCCTGTATCACTCAGCTGTTTGGATTTTTTCCTGGACTAGAAACAATTACTGATACCCGTAATTTAAGAGCAGGGTGGTTATTTTTCAATTCTTTGAAATCTAAAAGCAATAAGAACACCTGGTTAGGGCAGAAGGTTAAAATTAGAATTAACCTCGTGAAACTAAGGTCACAAATAAATGACCTTTCACAGAATTATAAAAAGGTTTTCTGTTAAACATTTTAAGAACAATTTACTTTTCTATTTTTCGGGTGTTAAGGTGACCCCATTAATCCATTAATTCCTTAATTTTTAATGGGCAGTGGTTAAATTAAATTGCTTTTCTTTCAAACTTTCCCCTTAATAGCTAAGGTTCAGATATGTGTTCTCCAAATCTTTTTGTCATTGAAAACTTAATTCTTGTTAATGTCAACAGAAACAGTAAGTATATGACCTAATTCTTGTTAATGTCAACAGAAACAGTAAGTATATGACATAATTCTTGTTAATGTCAACAGAAACAGTAAGTATATGACCTAATTCTTGTTAATGTCAACAGAAACAGTAAGTATATGACCTAATTCTTGTTAATGTCAACAGAAACAGTAAGTATATGACCTAATTCTTGTTAATGTCAACAGAAACAGTAAGTATATGACCTAATTCTTGTTAATGTCAACAGAAACAGTAAGTATATGACCTAATTCTTGTTAATGTCAACAGAAACAGTAAGTATATGACCTAATTCTTGTTAATGTCAACAGAAACAGTAAGTATATGTAAGTATACTTCTAAGCTTAAAAGTCCACCAAGGTCGGACATACTTAATTAGTCTAAATAAAGCTATAGAATAAATATCCTTACCAATGACTCTTGGTTATCCATAGCAACCTGTTACAAGATTTTAACACATTTTAACCCAAAGACATTGAAAGTGATAAGTATGGTGTCAGAGGGTGGTGAGATGGACACAACCACTTTCTACCTACCTATAGAACAGTTGTGGGAACTCATGCTGCCTGTAGTTTCTGTAGTCTTACCAGCAGTACAGTTTTCACATGGTAAGAAGGCTGTACTGTGGTCATCGACTGAACGGAAGGTTCCCCTGGGACAGGACATACAGTTGCCATTTCCATCGTCTTGTGTACCAGCAAGTGGACAATAGACTGAAAAATTGAAATATAATCTTAAATGTGAAAATCTGAAACATTAATATACATTCAATCAATAACAGAAACATGGGTGTTTGTGAAAGTGTGTGTGTGACAGTGTATGTGTGACAGTGTGTGTGTGACAGTGACAGTGTGTGTGTGACAGTGTGTGTGTGTGATGGTGTATGTGTGACTGTGTGTGTGTGTGACAGTGTGTGTGTGACAGTGTATGTGTGACAGTGTGTGTGTGACAGTGTGTGTGTGTGTGAAACAATATCCCTCTTCTTTTTGTCTCCACCATCCTTTTCTCATATATAGATAGAAATAGAACAAATTCAATTAATATTTATCAATTCGTTCAAGGGGTGCCAAATCCTATGTATGATTGTGTATAAAGCTGAGCCACCACTTAAACAGTGTGACCTATAAGTGGATCATGACTGTTGAATGTAGGTCTAAAAGAAAACTGGGTTCTCTGGTTTCGTGTTTTCACATGAAAATTATGTATTTGACTTACAAAGACAGTCACTAAAGCTGATAGTCTTCATGTATTTGGTGGCTTTGCTGCCTGAACACTGTACACAACGTTGATGTGATGTCGGCACGTCTTTGTCCTGGAATGTGTTGTAGGGACAGTCTATACAGCTGTCACCACTGCTATTTACTTCCTGACCCATGGCACAGATTTCTGTTAATATAAATACAACAAACTTAAGTATAGCAAGCCAGAAATCATCAGTGAAACATAAGAAAATCAAAAGGCCCTATTGATTTGTGTCACTAATCATTCAAAAGAATTAAGTTGGAACTTTACATGTATTTAATTTCTTTGACTAGAAAGGTCAATCAAAAGGACTTATTTGGACACTTTTGTTAGCCCTTCATCCGAGCAATCCAATACAGTAGTTTCCAATAGTTCTTTTAGAAAATTTAGATGATTCAATTACACGTAACCTTGATTCTTGGTCAAGGTTATCTTTTCACCCAAATAAAAGACTGATTTATTTCAGCACATCTGACCACAGCTTAACAATCAGTACTAATATCCCAAACAAAAACTTTCAAAAGATTAAATTTCTTCATCCCCAACATGAAAACAGTTCTACATGAATTAAGAGCTGTGGACAGGGTTGTATGAAATTCTAATGCAGTAAATGGCCAATAAAATGCTTTAGATTATGTTTGGCTACAATACCATACTGTGCTTACCTATGGTACAGTTCTCCCTATGAGTGGAGCCCGTGACCTCTGTGGTTTTGTTGGTAGGGCATTCTGAACAGGGATCAAAAATATCAGGATGATCACCAGTATGGTAGAATCTTCTATCGCATTGTTTACATTTCCTTTGTCCTGTGATAATTTCTTCTCCTGCTCCACAAACAACTAGAAATAAACAAAATAAAGGTGTAATTCAGATCCCCTACCCCTAAGGTGGAAGGATGGAAGGCGAGTAACAGATTGATAAGGAGGGTGTGACAAAGACATTACCTAACCGTCCAGGCAAATAACTGGCCATAGTTAGTCTTGGTTAATGTTCAAACAGTCACCAATTTTTTATCATGGTAACATCAAGGTTAGACCATCAGGTAACATCATGGTTAGACCATCAGGTAACATCATGGTTAGAACATCAGGTAACATCATGGTAAGAAAATCAGGTAACATCATGGTGAGACCATCAGGTAGCATCATGGTTAGACCATCAGGAATCATCATGGTTAGACCATCAGGTAACATCGTGGTTAGACCATCATGTAACATCATGGTTAGACCATCGGGTAACATCATGGTTAGACCGACAGGTAACATCATGGTTATACCATCAGGTAACATCATGGATCGACCATCAGGTAACATCATGGTTAGACCATCATGTAACAGCATGGTTAGACCATCAGGTAACATCAAGGTTAGACCACCAGGTAACATCATGGTAAGACAATCAGGTAACATCAAGGTTAGACCATCAAGTATAACATCATTGTTAGACCATCAGGTAACATCATAGTTAGACCATCAGGTAACATCATGGTGAGACCATCAGGGAACATCATGGTTCGACCATCAGGTAACATAATGGTTCGACCATCAGGTAACATCATGGTGAGCCCATCAGGTAACATCATGGTTAGACCAACAGGTAAAATCATGGTTAGACCATCAGGTAACATCAAGGTTCGACCACCAGGTAACATCATGGTAAGAAAATCAGGTAACATCAAGGTTAGACCAACAGGTAACATCATGGTGAGACCATCAGGTAACATCATGGTTAGACCATCGGGTAACATCATAGTTCGACCATCAGGTAACATCAAGGTTAGACCATCAGGTAACATCATGGTTAGACCATCAGGTAACATCATGGTGAGACCATCAGGTAACATCATGGTTAGACCATCAGGTAACATCATGGTTTATGGGAAGGTTTGAACATTGTTTTTTAGCTAAGATTTGATGTATATCCATACGAGGACAAAGTGATGCATACCCGTATGGAGACGAAGGGATGTATATCTGTACGGGGACAAAGTGATGTATATCCGTACGGGGATGAAGTGATGTATGTTTGTACAGGGACGAAGTGATGTATATCTGTACGGGGACAAAGTGATGTTTATCCGTACGGGGACGAAGTGATGTATATCGGTATGGGGACGAAGTGATGTATATCCGTACGGGGACAAAGTGATGTATATCTTTACGGGGACAAAGTGATTTATATCTGTCCGGGGACAAAGTGATTTATATTCGTACAGGGACAAAGGGATGTATAACAGTGCGGGGACAAAGGGATGTATATTCGTACGCGGACAAAGTGATGTATATTTGTACAGGGACAAAGTGATGTTTATCCGTACGGGGACATAGTGATGTATATCCATACGGGGACGAAGTGTTGTATATTCATACGAGACAAAGGGATGTATAACAGTGCGGGGACAAAGGGATGTAAATCAATATGGGGACAAAGGGATGTATATTCGTACGCGGACAAAGTGATGTATACTCGTACAGGGACAAAGTGATGTTTATTCGTACAGGGACAAAGTGATGTATATTCGTACGGGGACAAAGTGATGTATATTTGTACGGGGACAAAGTGATGTAAATCTGTATGGTTACTATGGGGATGAAGTGGTGTATATTCATACGGGGACAAAGTGATGTATATCCGTACGGGGACAAAGTGATGTATATCCGTACGGGGACGAAGTGATGTATATCCATACGGGGATGAAGTGATGTATATCCGTATGGGGACAAAGAGATGTATATTCGTACGGGGACAAAGTGATGTATAGAAATAGTATGCATACATAAAGTTGAATAATGAAAATCAAAGTCAAATGTATATCTGTACGGTTACTACGGGGACGAAGCAATGTATATTCCCATGGGGATGAAGTGATGTATATCCGTACGGGGACGAAGTGATGTATATCCATATGTGGACAAAGTGATGTATAGCCGTAAGGGGACAAAGTGATGTATGTCCGTACGGGGATGAAGTGATGTATATCTGTATGGGGACAAAGTGATGTATATTCGTATGGGGACAAAGTGATGTATATTCGTACGGGGACAACGTGATGTATGTCCGTACGGGGATGAAGTGATGTATATCCGTATGGGGACAAAGTGATGTATATTCGTATGGGGACAAAGTGATGTATATTCGTACGGGGATGAAGTGATGTATATTCGTACGGGGATGAAGTGATGTATATTTGTACGGGGATGAAGTGATGTATATTCGTATGGGGACAAAGTGATGTATATTCCTACGGGGACAAAGTGATGTATAGAAATAGTATGCATACATAAAGTTGAATAATGAAAATCAAAGTCAAATTTATTAAATAATAAGAAAAGGCATTTCTGAAATACTATACGCTGATGTAAATAGAAATGTCTTGTTATTTTAATTTTTTTTTTATGGCAGGTCACAAATAACAATTATTTTGTAATAATTTTGCCAAGACACTACTACTTTACAGGAATGATATGCAGACACAAAATTATCTAATCAAAACAAACTAAGTATTTACTTATCTCAATGTTTTTTTATTTATAACCTGGAAACACTACCAGAATGATGCCTGGACATACATACAGACGGATAGGACACATTTCTTTATCCCCGCCAACTTGGTTGGGAGGGGATAAAAAAAAACCATTAAATAACGAGCTACTTCAGGTTGGACACCCTGTACATATATTGTACTCGAGAAAAGTGATTTTAATCACAACATCTCTATAACATATTGAACTATTTTTATCATTCACTGATTTATTTGAACTGCACTCTTATAATTTTGGTTTTCAAAAGATAAAACTTACATTCACACTGCGAAGAACTGTTAGATCCCATATTTCTTGTGGATTCTGATGATGGGCACTTTTTACATTCATCCTTGAAATTCTCGTCCTGGTAATAACCAGTTGCGCAATCCTCACATGAATTAGATTTATTCCGGAAGGTTCCATTGTAACAAATTCCTACAGATAAAATAATCATACAGTAACACGCAGCTAGAAACCGTTATGGAATAATATGACGGTCTTGATCTGTTAGAAAGGAAACATACATACATGTACCGAAAACCTAAATGGCATACATAAAAGAGTTTTAGAGATGTATTATATGATAGCTTTAAAGATTTAGCCAAAAGTCAATATACATACTGATGTTACATCCAGATTCATCAGTTGTGCCTTTCTGTTCTGTTGTAAATTCTGATGGGCAAGGTATACACTTGACATTTAACTGTGTGCGGTACATCCCAATAGGACATTGAACACACGCCTGGTTACTCTCAACTCTCTCCTCCCCTACCGGACAGTCATCTGTGGGGAAAAAAAATGAAAATAATCTTTATTCTTGTGTCATAAAATTAACAGCACAGTACTTGTTTTATCAAAGTCTGTAGTTAATGTTAACACATATGTCCTTTGAAGAATGTATCACAGTGAGTGAATTTTGGTTTTAATGTTAACCGTCCAAGTTAAACTTACCATTGCAGTCAGTAAATGAATCTGACCCAGTGCCAGTGGTGATTTTTTGGATTGGACAAAAAGCACAGTAATCCATGCCATTATTTTCTTGGTAGAAATTCTTTGCACACACCTGACAGCTGGTTGATGACTTATTGTAAAAGTTACCAGCAGTGCAGTTTTCTAGATGAAAAAAAAGGAAAATTTCAAGATCAATCATGCACATACCTTCCTTATATATATTTCTAAACATGAAAGTTGAAATATTCCATTGGAAAGGGCCAGGAGCTTATTTTTAATCATTCTTGCATTAAAAGTATCAGCAATGTGTAAAATTATTTCAGAAGACCTGTTAAGGTAATATTTCACATTAAATTCATGTTTGTTTTATATTATATGCCTGAAAATATGTAAATTGACATACTGCAGTGGCTGATCTAGTGGGGGTAGCCTGGTAGGGGTCCAGTTTTCCCCTCTTCCACACTTTAGATTTCAAAATCTTTTACCAAACCTGAAAGATCCCTGGCCCACTGCTCGGTTTTTGGCATATACAATAATCTCCCCTTAATTTTGTTTTGAAAAAACTGTAGTACAGTTGGGTTAGGACACTTCTGCTGACCATTTAGGGGAGTCGGTTAGAGTGACAGTATAACAACCTGAAGTCCAGGGTTTGAATACTGGTGGTGTAATGTCCAGGGAATTTTTACTGTTCAGGCACTGTTGTTGATGACATTGTGTTTATTTCACCTTTGCAATTTTTTTCATTAGGTCCTGCAAGGTGTGCTTTTCTCTTCATAAGTTATTTATCAAACCTATATTCATGTGGAAAAAACAGCTTTCCAATACTTAGTTACATTTTTGGCGAGGTACAAGTATCCTTGAGTACCAGCTCATTCACCCCTAAAGACACATTTGAACTCTTCCAATTCAAAGGTTGGAATAGTTCATTAAGAAATTTCAGGGGTGAATGAGTTAAAGAACAGAAAAAAATACTGATGCTCTTGTTGTTGTTGAAGATTAAGTACAAGACATCAGACAGTTTTTCATGTCCTTATTGCTCAGTAGTAAACATACTATCACTCCCATTTATATAAAGTTTGGAACAGTTACTTAATCACAAAGAAATGATTTCGTAGGCCATATCATGTATACTCAATTTTTAAGTGACAAAAGTTCACTAGAAAAAGCATAAGATATCTGTTTAATGATATTCGTAAAACACTGTGACTTAAAACACATAGCTTCTAAAATGCATTTTGCTGGGGCTACACTCAATATTAATTCATGTACGTCAAGTTGTTTTACATAAAGAGTACAATAATTATCAACAAAATTGAAAGATATATCTAAGCAAGTAATCTTGAAGTGCAGATGGACAGATACATGCTTCTGATACCAATGTACTTGTCAAAAGAGTAGACAAGCATATACAAGTTATCTGGGGTTCAAGACAATCTATTTATAAAGGCAGGAGAGCAATGACAAGGGAAATTTAACAGATGGATGGATTGATAGACCATAGTAAGGTTTACTATTATGCAACGTTTTGTTAACGACAGGCATATAGAAATGTCATCAACATGGAAATATACAGATCTTAACCATCAATTTACAAATTACCGGTAAGGTAACATACCAACACAAAGACTTTGAGAAGTAGCTCCCTCATTCAACGTAACCTTATTGCCATCACAAGGTTTACAGATGGTTTGTCCAGCTTCATCCAGGTAGGTGTTCTTCTGGCAAAACTTACACATCTTGGTGTTAGTGTCATAGTACTGGCCCGCGGAACATTGAACTGAAACACAGGAGCATGAACATACGAGTCTCCAAAAAAAGCATTGAACACAAACACAGGAACATGAACATTTTAGTCTCCACAGTTATAGCATTGAAATGAAACACAGGAGCATGAACATACTAGTCTCCACAGTTATAGCATTGAACTGAAACACAAGAGCAAGAAAATACTAGTCACAACAGTTATAGCATTGAACTGAAACACAGGAACATGAACATTATAGTCACCACCGTTATAGCATTGAACTGAAACACTGGAACATGAACATACTAGTTTCCACAGTTATAGCATTGAATACAAACACAGGAGCATGAACATTTTAGTCTCCACAGTTATAGCAATGAAATGAAACACAGGAGCATGAACATACTAGTCTCCACAGTTAAAGCATTGAACTGAAACACAGGAGCATGAACATTTAAGTCTCCACAGTTATAGCATTGAACTGAAACACAGGAGCATGAAAATACTAGTCACCACAGTTATAAGCATTGAACTGAAACACTGGAGCATGAACATACTAGTCTCCACAGTTATATCATTGAACTGAAACACAGAAACATGAACATACTAGTCACCACAGTTATAGCATTGAACTGAAACACAGGAGCATGAACATAGTAGTCTCTACAGTACCGGTAATAGCATTGAACACAAACACAGGAGCATGAACATTTTAGTCACCACAGTTACAGCATTGAACTGAAACACAGAAACATGAATATATTAAAGTAACCACAGTTACAGCATTGAACTGAAACACAGGAGCATGAACATACTAGTCACCACAGTTAAAGCATTGAACACAAACACAGGCGAATGAACATTTTAGTCACCACAGTTACAGCCTTGAACTGAAACACATGAGCATGAACATTTTGGTCTCCACAGTTATAGCGTTGAACTGAAACACATGAGCATGAACATTTTGGTCTCCACAGTTATAGCGTTGAACTGAAACACAGTAGCATGAACATTTTAGTCACCACAGTTATAACATTGAACTGAAACACTGGAGCATGAACATACATACTTGTCACCACAGTTATAACATTGAACTGAAACACCGGAGCATGAACATTTTAGTCTCCACAGTTAAAGCATATAACACAAACAATGGAACAAGAACATACTAGTCACCACCGTTATAGCATTGAACACAAACACAGGCGAATGAACATTTTAGTCACCACAGTTAGTGCATTGAACACAAAGGAACATAAACATACTAGTCACCAGAGTTAAAGCATTGAACACAAACACAGGAGTATGAACATACTAGGAGCATGAACATACAAGTCACCACAGTTAAAGCATTGAACACAAACACAAGAGCATGAACATACTAGTTTCCACAGTTATAGCATTGACCTGAAACACAGAAACATGAACATACTATTCTCCACAGTTATAGCGTTGAACTGAAACACAGTAGCATGAACATTTTAGTCACCACAGTTACAGCCTTGAACTGAAACACAGAAGCATGAACATACTAGTTACCACAGTTATAGAATATAACACAAACAAAGGAACTTGAACATACTAGTCACCAGAGTTAAAGCATTGAACAAAAATAAATGAACATGAACATACTAGTTACCACAGTTATAGCATTAAAATGAAACTCAGGAGCATGATCATGTTAGTCTCCACAGTAATAGCATTGAGCTGAAACGCAGGAGCATGAACATAGTAGTCTCTACAGTACCGGTAATAGCATTGAACACAAACAAAGGAACATAAACATACTAGTCACCAATTATATCATTGAACTGGAACACAGGAGCATGAAAATACTAGTCTCCACAGTCATATCATTGAACTGAAACTCAGGAGCATGAACATTTAAGTCTCCACAGTTATAGAATATAACACAAACAAAGGAACATAAACATACTAGTCACCAGAGTTAAAGCATTGAACAAAAACACAGCATGAACATACTAGTTACCACAGTTATAGAATATAACACAAACAATGGAACAAGAACATACTAGTCACCAGAGTTAAAGCATTGAACAAAAACACAGCATGAACATACTAGTTACCACAGTTATAGAATATAACACAAACAATGGAACAAGAACATACTAGTCACCAATTATATCATTGAACTGGAACACAGGAGCATGAACTTCTAGTCACCACAGTTATAACATTGAACTGAAACACTGGAGCATGAACATACAAGTCACCACAGTTAAAGCATATAACACAAACAATGGAACAAGAACATACTAGTCACAAGTTATAGCATTGAAATAAAACACAGGAGCATGCACATACTAGTCTCCACAGTAATAGCATTGAACACAAAAACAGGAGCATGAACATCCTAGTCTCCACAGTAATAGCATTGAGCTGAAACGCAGGAGCATGAACATAGTAGTCTCTACAGTACCGGTAATAGCATTGAACACAAACACAGGCGAATGAACATTTTAGTCACCACAGTTATAACATTGAACTGAAACACTGGAACATGAACATACTATTCTCCACAGTTATAGCATTGAAATGAAACACAGGAGCATGAACATCATAGTCTCCACAATTATAGCATAGAACACAAACAAAGGAACATGAACATACTGGTCACCAATTATAGCATTGAACTGAAACACAGGAGCATGAACATACTAGTCTCCACAGTTAAAGCATTGAACACAAACACAGGAGCATGAACATACTAGTCACCTAAGTAATAGCATATAACACAAACAATGGAACAAGAACATACTAGTCACCACAGTTAAAGCATTGAACACAAACAAAGGAACATGAACATACTAGTCACCAGTTATAGCATTGAACACAAACACAGGAGCATGAACATAGTGGTCACCAGTTATAGCATTGAACACAAACACAGGAGCATGAACAAACTAGTCACCAGTTATAGCATTGAACACAAACACAGGAGTATGAACATACTAGTCACCACAGTTAAAGCATTGAACAAAAACACAGGAGTATGAACATACTAGTTACCACAGTTATAGCATTGAACACAAACACAGGAGCATGAACATACTGGTCACCAGTTATAGCATTGAACACAAACACAGGAGTATGAACATACTAGTCACCACAGTTATAGCATTGAACACAAACACAGGAGCATGAACAAACTAGTCACCAGTTATAGCATTGAACACAAACACATGAAATACAGGAGCATGAACATACTAGTCTCCACAGTTATAGCATTGAAATGAAACACAGGAGCATGAACATACTAGTCTCCACAGTTATAGTATTGAACTGAAACAATGGAGAATGAACATACTAGTCACCACAGTTATAGCATTGAACTGAAATACAGGAGCATGAACATACTAGTCTCCACAGTTATAGCATTGAAATGAAACACAGGAGCATGAACATACTAGTCACCACAGTTAAAGCATTGAACAAAAATAAATGAACATGAACATACTAGTCACCAGTTATAGCATTGAACACAAACACAGGAGCATGAACATACATACTTGTCACCACAGTTATAGCATATAACACAAACAAAGGAACATGAACATACTAGTCACCACAGTTAAAGCATTGAACAAAGACAAAGGAACATGAACATACTAGTCACCACAGTTAAAGCATTGAACACAAACAAAGGAACATGACATACTAGTCACCAGTTCTAGCATTGAACACAAACACAGGAGCATGAACATACTGGTCACCAGTTATAGCATTGAACACAAATACAGGAGCATGAACATACTAGTCACAAGTTATAGCATTGAACACAAACACAGGAGCATGAACATACTGGTCCCCAGTTATAGCATTGAACACAAATACAGGAGCATGAACATACTAGTCACCACAGTTATAGCATTGAACACAAACAAAGGAACATGAACATTTTAGTCTCCATAGTTATAGCATTGAAATGAAACACAGAAACATGAACATATTAAAGTCACCACAGTTATAGCATTGAACTGAAACACAGGAGCATGAACATTTTAGTCTCCACAGTTATAGCATTGAACTGAAACACAGGAGCATGAACATACTTGTCACAACAGTTATAGCATTGAACACAAACACAGGAGTATGAACATACTACTCTCCACAGTTATAGCATTGAAATGAAACACAGGAGCATGAACATACTAGTCACCACAGTTATAGCATTGAACTGAAACACAGGAGCATGAACATTTTAGTCTCCACAGTTATAAGCATTGAACTGAAACACAGGAGCATGAACATTTTAGTCTCCACAGTTATAGCATTGAACTGAAACACAGGAGCATGAACTTCTAGTCACCACAGTTATAGCATTGAACTGAAACACAGGCAGGAGCATGAACATTTTAGTCTCCACAGTTTTAGCATTGAACTGAAACACAGGAGCATGAACATACTAGTCTCCACAGTTATAGCAATGAACTGAACCACAGGAGCATGAACTTACTAGTCACCACAGTTATAAGCATTGAACTGAAACACAGGGGCATGAACATACTAGTCTCCACAGTTATAAGCATTGAACTGAAACACAGGAGCATGAACATTTTAGTCTCCACAGTAATAGCATTGAACTGAAACACAGAAACATGAATATATTAAAGTCACCACAGTTATAGCATTGAACTGAAACACAGGAGCATGAACATTTTAGTCTCCACAGTTATAAGCATTGAACTGAAACACAGGAGCATGAACATACTAGTCTCCACAGTTATAGCAATGAAATGAAACACAGGAGCATGAACATACTAGTCTCCACAGTTATAGCATAGATCACAAACAAAGGAACATGAACATCATAGTCTCCACAATTATAGCATTGAACTGAAACACAGGAGCATGAAATACTGGTCACCAATTATAGCATTGAACACAAACACAGGAGCATGAACATACTAGTCACCACAGTTATAGCATATAACACAAACAATGGAACATGAACATACTAGTCACCAGTTAAAGCATTGAACACAAACAAAGGAACATGAACATTCTAGTCACCAGTTATAGCATTGAACACAAACACAGGAGCATGAACATACTAGTCACCACAGTTAAAGCATTGAACACAAACAAAGGAACATGAACATACTAGTCACCAGTTATATCACTGAACTGAAACACAGGAGCATGAACATACTAGTCACCACAGTTCTAGCATTGAACACAAACACAGGAGTATGAACATACTAGTCACCACAGTTATATCATTGAACACAAACACAGGAGCATGAACATACTAGTCACCACAGTTCTAGCATTGAACACAAACACAGGAGTATGAACATACTAGTCACCACAGTTAAAGCATTGAACACACACAAAGGAACATGAACATACTAGTCACCACAGTTAAAGCATTGAACACAAACTCAGGAACATGAACATACTAGTCACCACAGTTAATGCATTGAACCCAAACAAAGGAACATGAACATACTAGTCACCAGTTATATCACTGAACTGAAACACAGGAGCATGAACATACTAGTCACCACAGTTATAGCATTGAACTGAAACACAGGAGCATGAACANCAGTCCCATCAGTTGTGTATACTTATCACACTGACCACCATCTGATGTCCAGGCCCATCAGTTGTGTATACTTACCACACTGACCACCATCAAATATCCAGTCCCATCAGTTATGTATTCTTATCACACTGACCACCATCTGATGTCCAGTCCCATCAGTTGTGTATACTTATCACTCTGACCACCATCTGATGTCCAGTCCCATCAGTTATGTATACTTACCACACTGACCACCATCTGATATCCAATCCCATCAGTTGTGTATACTTATTACACTGACCACCATCTGATGTCCAGTCCCATCAGTTGTGTATACTTATCACACTGACCACCATCTGATGTCCAGTCCCATCAGTTATGTATACTTACCACACTGACCCCCATCTGATGTCCAGTCCCATCAGTTATGTATACTTACCACACTGACCCCCATCTGATGTCCAGTCCCATCAGTTGTGTATACTTACCACACTGACCACAATCTGATATGCAGTCCCATCAGTTGTGTATACTTATCACACTGACCACCATCTGAAGTCCAGTCCAATCAGTTGTGTATACTTATCACACTGACCACCATCTGATATGCAGTCCCATCAATTGTGTATACTTATCACACTGACCACCATCTGATGTCCAGCCCCATCAGTTGTGTATACTTACCACACTGACCACAATCTGATATGCAGTCCCATCAGTTGTGTATACTTATCACACTGACCACCATCTGATATGCAGTCCCATCAATTGTGTATACTTATCACACTGACCACCATCTGATGTCCAGCCCCATCAGTTGTGTATACTTACCACACTGACCACAATCTGATATGCAGTCCCATCAGTTGTGTATACTTATCACACTGACCACCATCTGATGTCCAGCCCCATCAGTTGTGTATACTTACCACACTGACCACCATCAAATATCCAGTCCCATCAGTTATGTATTCTTATCACACTGACCACCATCTGATGTCCAGTCCAATCAGTTGTGTATACTTATCACACTGACCACCATCTGATGTCCAGCCCCATCAGTTGTGTATACTTACCACACTGACCACCATCTGATATGCAGTCCCATCAATTGTGTATACTTATCACACTGACCACCATCTGAAGTCCAGTCCAATCAGTTGTGTATACTTATCACACTGACCACCATCTGATATGCAGTCCCATCAATTGTGTATACTTATCACACTGACCACCATCTGATATGCAGTCCCATCAATTGTGTATACTTATCACACTGACCACCATCTGATGTCCAGTCCCATCAGTTGTGTATACTTATCACTCTGACCACCATCTGATGTCCAGTCCCATCAGTTATGTATACTTACCACACTGGCCACCATCTGATATCCAATCCCATCAGTTGTGTATACTTATTACACTTACCACCATCTGATGTCCAGTCCCATCAGTTATGTATACTTACCACACTGACCCCCATCTGATGTCCAGTCCCATCAGTTATGTATACTTACCACACTGACCCCCATCTGATGTCCAGTCCCATCAGTTATGTATACTTACCACACTGACCCCCATCTGATGTCCAGTCCCATCAGTTGTGTATACTTACCACACTGACCACTATCTGATGTCCAGTCCCATCATTTGTGTATACTTACCACATTGTTCACCAACAAGCTGGTATCCACTGGCACAAGACATTGACTGTGTTATAGTGATAGACTGAACATTTTTTCGTAGAATAGCTCCAGCTGTAACTAGCTGAAAAGAACAGAGAAGATGAAAATTACACACTGTTTCTGTTCCTTGAGAATAAGGGCAAGGGCTGAAACAATTATAGTATGTAGGCAAACAAATCCTCCAAAAAAAATGTTACACAGATTTAATGATGGGGAAAATGGGCATTAGTGAATGTTAAACCTCATACAAAATAAAACACTGACCTATGATGGAGTAAAAATTCACTCTACAAAATCTGACATCTAGTGAATCCCGTATTGAGACATGTAATATAAGGACACAATATTCACTAAAAACTCCTGCTTACCTCAAAATCCATAGTATCAGTATTATACACTACATATGTCAAGGCTTCAAAGGGCAAAAAGGTCACTGAGACACCATCCACAGGAACTGACAGTATTTCCCTGGAAAGAAAAATAATATTAAATTTACTGACCTTCCAAAGAATGACACAGACACTATAAACCCTGGGCTACGTATATAGTGGTACACAGACACTATAAAAACTGGGGCTATGAATACATAGTGGTACATAGACACTATGAACACTGGGGCTATGTATATAGTGGTACACAGACACTATAAAAACTGGGGCTATGAATACATAGTGGTACATAGACACTATAAACACTGGGGCTATGTATATAGTGGTACACAGACACTATGAACACTTGGGCTATGTATATAGTGGTACACAGACACTATGAACACTTGGGCTATGTATATAGTGGTACACAGACACTATAAACTCTGGGGCTATGTATATAGTGGTACACAGACACAATAAAAACTGGGGCTATGAATACATAGTGGTACATAGACACTATGAACACTGGGGCTTTGTATATAGTGGTACACAGACACTATGAACACTTGGGCTATGTATATAGTGGTACACAGACACTATAAAAACTGGGGCTATGAATACATAGTGGTACATAGACACTATGAACACTGGGGCTTTGTATATAGTGGTACACAGACACTATGAACACTTGGGCTATGTATATAGTGGTACACAGACACTATAAACTCTGGGGCTATGTATATAGTGGTACACAGACACAATAAACACTGGGGCTATGTATATAGTGGTACGCAGACACTATAAAAACTGGGGCTATGAATACATAGTGGTACATAGACACTATGAACACTGGGGCTTTGTATATAGTGGTACACAGACACTATGAACACTTGGGCTATGTATATAGTGGTACACAGACACTATAAAAACTGGGGCTATGAATACATAGTTGTACATAGACACTATAAACACTGGGGCTATGTATATAGTGGTATACAGACACTATGAACACTGGGACTATGTATATAGTGGTATACAGACACTATGAACACTGGGACTATGTATATAGTGGTATACAGACACTATGAACACTGGGACTATGTATATAGTGGTATACAGATACTATGAACACTGGGACTATGTATATAGTCTAACACAAAAACAATAAACACTGGGACTATGTATATAGTGAAACACAGACACTATAAACACTGGGGCTATGTATATAGTGGTACATAGACACAATACACACGGGGGCTATGTATATAGTCTAACACAGACACAATACACACTGGGGCTATGTATATAGTGGTACACAGACACTATAAACTCTGGGGCTATGTATATAGTGGTACACAGACACAATAAACACTGGGGCTATGACTATAGTGGTACACAGACACAATACACATTGGAGCTATGTATATAGTGAAACACAGACACAATAAACACTGGGGCTATGTATATAGTGAAACACACACAATACACACTGGGGCTATGTATATAGTGGTACACAGACACTATGAACACTTGGGCTATGTATATAGTGGTACACAGACACTATAAACTCTGGGGCTATGTATATAGTGGTACACAGACACTATAAACTCTGGGGCTATGTATATAGTGGTACACAGACACAATAAACACTGGGGCTATGTATATAGTGAAACACACACAATACACACTGGGGCTATGTATATAGTGGTACACAGACACAATAAACACTGGGGCTATGTATATAGTGGTACATAGACACAATACACACTGGGGCTATGTATATAGTGAAACACAGACACTATAAACACTGGGGTTATGTATAAACAGGTACACATACACTATAAACACAGACACAATAAACACTGGGGTTATGTATATATCAAAACACAGACACTATAAACACTGGGGCTATGTATATATCAGAACACAGACACAATAAACACTGGGGCTATGTATATATAGTGGTACACAGACACAATAAACACTGGGGCTATGTATATAGTGAAACACAGACACTATAAACACAGGGGCTATGTATATAGTGAAACACAGACACTATAAACACAGGGGCTATGTATATAGTGAAACACAGACACTATAAACACTGGGGCTATGTATATAGTGGTACACAGACACAATACACATTGGGGCTATGTATATAGTGAAACACAGACACAATACACACTGGGGCTATGTATATAGTGGTACACAGACACAATACACATTGGGGCTATGTATATAGTGAAACACAGACACTATAAACACAGGGGCTATGTATATAGTGAAACACAGACACTATGAACACAGGGGTTATGTATATATCAAAACACAGACACTATAAACACTGGGGCTATGTATATAGTGGTACACAGACACTATGAACACTGGGGCTATGTATATAGTGGTACACAGACACAATACACATTGGGGCTATGTATATAGTGAAACACAGACACAATACACACTGGGGCTATGTATATAGTCAAACACAGACACTATAAACACTGGGGCTATGTATATAGTGGTACACAGACACAATACACATTGGGGCTATGTATATAGTGAAACACAGACACAATAAACACTGGGGCTATGGATATAGTGGTACACAGACACAATACACACTGGGGCTATGTATATAGTGGTACACAGACACAATACACATTGGGGCTATGTATATAGTGAAACACAGACACAATACACACTGGGGCTATGTATATAGTGGTACACAGACACTATAAACAATGGAGCTATGTATATAGTGAAACACAGACACAATAAACACTGGGGCTATGTATATAGTGGAACACAGAAACTATAAACAATGGAGCTATGTATATAGTGAAACACAGACACAATAAACACTGGGGCTATGGATATAGTGGTACACAGACACAATACACACTGGGGCTATGTATATAGTGAACACACTGGGGCTATGTATATAGTGGTACACAGACACTATAAACAATGGGTCTGTTTATATGGTAATTCATAAGCTATTCACACTATAAACACAGGGGCTATGTATATAGTGAAACACAGACACTATAAACACAGGGGATATGTATATATCAAAACACAGACACAATAAACACTGGGGCTATGTATATTGTGGTACACAGACACTATAAACACAGGGGCTATGTATATAGTGAAACACAGACACTATAAACACTGGGGTTATATATATAGTGGTACACAGACACAATACACACTGGGCCTATGTATATAGTGGTACACAGACACTATAAACAATGGGTCTGTTTATATGGTAATTCATAAGCTATTCACACTATAAACACAGGGGCTATGTATATAGTGAAACACAGACACTATAAACACTGGGGTTATATATATAGTGGTACACAGACACAATACACACTGGGCCTATGTATATAGTGGTACACAGACACTATAAACACAGGGGTTATGTATATATCAAAACACAGACACTATAAACACTGGGGCTATGTATATAGCGAAACACAGACACAATAAACACTGGGGCTATGTATATAGAGGTACACAGACACAATACACACTGGGGCTATGTATATAGTGAAACACAGACACTATAAACACTGGGGTTATGTATATAGTGGTACACAGACACAATACACACTGGGCCTATGTATATAGTGGTACACAGACACTATAAACACTGGGGTTATGTATATAGCAAAACACAGACACAATAAACACTGGGGCTATGTATATAGAGGTACACAGACACAATACACACTGGGGCTATGAATATAGTGGTACACAGACACAATACACATTGGGGCTATGTATATAGTGAAACACAGACACTATAAACACTGGGGCTATGTATATAGTCAAACACAGACACTATAAACACTGGGGCTATGTATATAGCGAAACACAGACACAATAAACACTGGGGCTATGTATATTGTGGTACACAGACACTATAAACACTGGGGCTATGTATATAGCGAAACACAGACACAATAAACACTGGGGCTATGTATATAGTGGTACACAGACACTATAAACAATGGGTCTGTTTATATGGTAATTCATAAGCTATTCAGCTAAGCTATGCATATTTTCACTGTTTATTTTGACTTAAGTAATTTGAGGATGACATGTTAAATGTAAGGAACTTACTCTAATCCGGTCAATGTGAAGCTGACTCTCAATAACTTCCCCTCTAGAGTTTCACACCTCAGATTGGGTACTATTACACAATTAGGTTTACAAACACCAACAGCCCTCAGGCGGGTACTCAATCTATCGACAAAGACATCCAGATCAGCAGACTTGCACGAAATGACAAGGTCATAAAGCAAATCCACCGCGACTTGATACGAAGTTATTCCAACAGCTATAAATACAAGAAACAAAGATATCATTGATGAGGCCATCTCAATTATAACATTATATTATTTCAAATGAGAGATATTTAAATTTTACTGCGTTACATAGTACAGTAGTTAATAATTGTTTGTTTTATCTCTGCTTTTTAACCCTGCATGTTGAGGGAGGTGGTTCCATGTAATGTAATGCATATATCATTGTCCAGATGACATGGAAGAGTGAGAATTTGAAATAATTTGTACACATTTGTCACAAGTGTTTAAAAGATAACATGCATAATGAATAAATGGCTGCTCTATCGTCTCGGAACAGGCTACCGGCATATGTGTGTTGTTTACATTGATTTGGAGGGGGGTATTTTCATGGGTCAATAGGACAGACCAGTTTATGTCTAGCACCTGTTAGATATTAACATGTATTATTATTACACTATATGAAAGTAATATCATAGAATTGGCTTTTTCCCTGAAATCCCAACATTAGGGAATTAGCTCACAAAAAGGGTGTGTTAGTTTGGAGAACTAAGACCCAGTGAATTAGTACAGAGGATGCGTGTGGCTTGATCAAGATATCGACCAATCAGCGTCGAGGAAGGTGGGGCTACAAATAAGTTTGTCAATGTTGAAATTAAATCAACACCCTACTCTTGCCAAGTGATATTGTTGTACTGTAGTCTGCAATTTGCTTATTTTGATGCTGTTAAAAATTAAAAAAATGATATAACTGTTCATCATGTTTTTATTGTATATTGTCAGATTGATGTTTTTGTATCAATATAATAAAACAGTTAAAGTACTGGTATGGTTATTTTGGGATATAGCAAGTTTCTGGTTGCCCTTGACCAGGTCTATTTCCCCACGGCGAAGTCGCCGGGAACCAGAAACTTGTTATATCCCTTATAACCATACTTTAACTGTATATTAGGTGATATTTCAGATATAATACAGGTACAAGTTTGATTTATTTCCCATCAAAAATAAACAAAATATTCCTGAAAGTATTATTTCCATAATGTACTAAAGTATAAACTTTACCCCTTTTCAAGATGGGAATAGGTGACCTGTTGGTTGTGAAATTCTCAACTTTGTTAAAGCACCTTAAGACCTTTCCATCCATTAAGAGTATTTTTTTGAATCTAGCAATCTTGGTCTGAAGAAGATTGTTGAAATATAGCCATTAAGGCGCATTTTGACACTTTTGGTCCCTGCCCCAAAGACCCCTGAAGGATAAGACCTATTTCATTCATAGTTTTGGTTCTTTCCTGCAAAATTTTATTAAAATTGATTCAGTGGTTTTGAAGAAGTTGAAAAAGTGAAATGTTTACAGATGCACGATAGACAATGTATGACAGATGATAACAGACAAAAGGCAAAAAGTCTTAGTTGACCTGAAAATTGATGTCTGTGCTTTCATCACAGTCAATATATTCCACAGAAAAAGAAACGACATTCCCCTTCCATGACAAAAGTCAGACTAAATAGCATGAATATAGGCCTTATGGGTCTGAGAAAGAAGTTGTTTAATGGAAACACGGATGTCTGAGGGTTGGATGATGAAAGGTGTGCCATTGCATAAGGCTTACATAAACTTTTTATCAGATGGGCAGAGAAACAAAGAGATTCCAGTCTACAAACAACAGTTATGTTATTAAAACAAATCAGAAGAAAAATGTACAGTTCAATGAAGTATCGGTAGGCTAGAGCACCGAGACTAGATATCATATCCAGAAATATAGAAGGGTAGTGTTAGATCTGACATCTCTGTTCAATGGAGTACCGGTAGGCTAGAGTACTGAGACTAGATATCATATCCAGAAATATAGAAGGGTAGTGTTAGATCTGACATCTCAGTTCAATGGAGTACTGGTAGGCTAGAGCACCGAGACTAGATATCATATCCAGAAATATAGAAGGGTAGTGTTAGATCTGACATCTCAGTTCAATAAAGTACTGGTAGGCTAGAGCACCGAGACTAGATATCATATCCCGAAATATAGAAGGGTAGTGTTAGATCTGACATCTCTGTTCAATGGAGTACCGGGTAGGCTAGAGCACCGAGACTATAGATATCATATCCAGAAATATAGAAGGATAGTGGTAGATCTGACATCTTGGTGGACAAACACCATCGCGAAACTAGATGGAACTTGAAGCAGTGACTTCATGAATATTTTTAAAATGTTCATCGGGCTTTCATACAAAGTCTGGGGATCTGACATGATTTAGCACATAAGAAATTTACATGAAACAGTGATTTTTTTATTGAAGTCATGCTGTCAGGCCAAATTTGAGTCACAATGACCTTTTTTTGGCTCGTAACGTTTCACCTTTCTTACATGCACCAACACACTATGACTGGTGATCGTACATAAAATACTATAAGAGAAATGCTTTAGAAACAGTTTTGCCATGATTAAGGTCAGATTTCAAAACTTAAGTCACAGTGAATAACTTTTTGGTTTGCATCACTTCCCCTCCCCTCAATGTAACTCACTCCCAAATTTGATTATCCTAATGACATAGTACAGGAGAAACACCATTTAATGGTCAAATACTACACTATCTCCCAATCCCGACTTATTCCAAAAAATCTACTACAAACCTCCACAGGCAGGCAGAAGGAAGGAATCATAGGGTTCATCTGGGTTGTACACGCCTAAATTGGTGCAGTGGAAAAACTCTGGTATGGGTCCAGATATTGCCAAATTGTTAGAGCAAGTGGCTTTGTGAGCTTTCATGTTGGAACCCACAGTAAAATCTGTCAAAGCACCATTAAAAACTGGAGCAGGGCAGTCATCATCTAAACATAGATACAAATCATATGTTATAAGGATTTTAAAACACAATATCATCAATGAAAATGATGTGAAAATCATAACATTTTCTTAATAATGTTTGAGAATAAGGATTAAAAAACACACAATTTCAGCATGATGATTATATGGTTTCTCCATAAATATTTCAAATTCATCCCAAACAAAGTACACTTTTACAAGCAAATTACATTAATGTTGTACTGACTCAATACTTAATAGACTTTTACGAGTAAACTAATAAATCAAAGTCACACTGACCCTAAACAAACTAGAAAATGTCTGTAAGACATAAATGCCCCCGCTGCCATGAGAAATTAGTTTCAGTGCTCTATAAAAAGTTACAACTACTTTGATCTTGATGCCCTGAAACATGCACACACACAAGGTACTACACTTAAAGCTGACAAGTTGATTTTAATATTCATGTTTTTTCTGTATGTTATTACCATCTGCATAACATATTGAATGAAGTTTCTAAGTGTTAAAATTGAATCAGTTGATGATTTTCTATATATAGCAACAGTGACCTTGGCCTTGACCTTAAAACCCTGAAACACAACGATGTCCGAAGTAAACTCAAACTTGACCTTTGTATAAAGTTTGACCAAAATCTGTCAAAGAATGAAGTTGCTACGTGTTAACATGGAATCGGGACGAGACGGGACGGACATTTAGGCAGCACTATATGACCCCCCCCCCCCATTTTATGGAGGGTTGTACCTTTGTATAAAGTTTTAAAAAAGAGTTTTTTAGATCAAGGTCACATTGACCCTAAACTACGGTAAACAAATATTTATAATATAATTAAATCAAGACCCAACTGACTCTAGAGTAAATAAACTTTTATAAATAAATGAGATCAATTAAGTTCCATTGACCCTATACTAAACTGACTTATATAATTATATATATTAGATCAATGTCATACTGATCCTCGACTAACCTAGCTTTTATAATTAAATTAGATCATAGTAACACTAACCCTGGACTAAACTGACTTGAATAAGTAAATAAGGTAAAGGTCACACTGACCTTAAACTAGACTTTTACCTGTAAATTTAACACTGACTTTACAAACAATTAAAAGTAAACACACTTACATTGAACGTATAGCGGAAACCGGCACATAGCAAAGTTTTTCATTCCATCTATGGCGTAGAAAACCAAGACAATTCGCCCACGAGTGTACGATTCACCTGTAACAGAGGGCAAACAAAAGAGAATATCATACAATCAACTTAAAAACTGCTGATCATATATCTGGCATAGTGGTAAAGTCAAGTTGCTTGTTACAATGTTTCCCATACAGGGATCTAGATGGGATTTTCTCTTTAACCTTGCTCTCACAGGCTAAGGTTGAGGTACTCTGGAAAACTGGGAAAAAGTCCTCATCGATGTGGATCGAAGTATGTCACTAATGAACTTATATCTAGTTGCATGTTTATATATAACTGTTCATCTAGAAAAAATTCTCTTTAGTTCAATCAATAGCCAGGTGAATGAAGCCATTACATTATTTACTTATTATTTATATATAATATATAGCTAATGCCATTACAGTATTATCTTATTATTTATATATAATATATAGCTAATGCCATTACAGTATTATCTTATTATTTATATATAATATATAGCTAATGCCATTACAGTATTATCTTATTATTTATATATAATATATAGCTAATGCCATTACAGTATTATCTTATTATTTATATATAATATATAGCTAATGCCATTACAGTATTATCTTATTATTTATATATAATATATAGCTAATGCCATTACAGTATTATCTTATTATTTATATATAATATATAGCTAATGCCATTACAGTATTATCTTATTATTTATATATAATATATAGCTAATGCCATTACAGTATTATCTTATTATTTATATATAATATATAGCTAATGCCATTACAGTATTATCTTATTATTTATATATAATATATAGCTAATGCCATTACAGTATTATCTTATTATTTATATATAATATATAGCTAATGCCATTACAGTATTATCTTATTATTTATATATAATATATAGCTAATGCCATTACAGTATTATCTTATTATTTATATATAATATATAGCTAATGCCATTACAGTATTATCTTATTATTTATATATAATATATAGCTAATGCCATTACAGTATTATCTTATTATTTATATATAATATATAGCTAATGCCATGGCAGCAGGTTTTGACATGAAATGATTCAATTTTACCAGATATGTCTGTACCATGAATAGGTCACAGTATTAAATTAGCACTGAGGTAAAGGATTCCAACTGCGATCTTTATTATCTGGCTATCTGACAGAGAGTGACAAGCTCCTGTAAGTACAGTTAAAGAGATAACGCCTGATGCCCTGTACAGGTTAACCAATGGGCAGAGTGCAACATAACTTAAAGTCTTGATAACAAGCCTTATTTTACTAGAAATATTGCCGGAATGGCTAATTTATACCTCCTGTAAAGATTTCTTTATATTCACAGAGCTAGTGGCATGCTTCTTGTACTCCACACTCTCCGCAGCCAAGAAATTATGGCATACCAAATCTGGTTACTCCAGGTGAAATAGTATAGCAGATACACCCCAGGCTAACTTTTTCAAAAGTCAAATCATAGGTAACAGTGACATATACTGATCCCATGCAAAACTGACCAAAGGGCCATGTGAGCTAAAAATAAATTACGCACAGGTTTTTCTCACGTTTATGCTTAGCCATTGTCATTGTATAACATACATATTGACTTTAAATCAGAATCCAGTCATATTTGACTATAACATAATGCGCAGAAACTGTCAACCCTTCAGAGCACAGTATGCTAATTAATTATGCATGAATTTGTTTGACTCCAAACTTTGCCTCAGTCCTTTTATAATGTTTATGCTAACTAAACTTCATCAAAATCTAATGACATTTAAGCAAATTATCTTGCATAAACCAAATTGTGGGCATCGAACAATGGGAACACGGCTGGTATGCTAGTTAATTATATGCACAAATCGGTAAACTTCGATCTTAGCCTCAGTCTCTGTATATTGTACATGCTGACCAAGTTTCATAAAAATCAACCAATAATTAAGCAAGTTATCTTACCAGAGCGGATGCTGATTATTTGGAGCACAGTATGCTAATCTATCACGAAAAGATTTTGTTCAACTTCGTCTTTACCTCAGTCTTTGTATATATTGTACATGCTTACTAAGTTTCATCAAAATTGAATGATGTATTCTATTTAGCAAGTTATCTATCGGAAACCAAAGTGTGGGCGGACACTCCCCATACCATTATACATCCCATAAAAAATGTTGACAGTCGTATAAAGATTGATGGATAGGTAGATAGATAGCAAGACAGCTAGATGAACAGGGAAATGAACAGTTAGACAGAGAAATGAAAGATAAACAGATTAACTCCAGCACATGTATATCCTAATATCAGATCTGTGTGTAATATATCTTACCATCTGCTACAGAAGAATATTTAGTGATATCTGTAGGATGATTAAAACTGATGCTGTTCTTCAAACCTGGGAAGTTTACTATCTGTTCATCAGGCATTGGAAACTCTTTCCTAAATGGTGGACAACTGACCACAGTTGGAGGCATCTTATCTGTGAAATATAACAATCAATTATTATTAAGAGTTTCCTGACAAGCTCAATATCAGGCAGTTACATTACCCTATTCTTCCTAATTCGTGCACCTTTTTTTTCTGGGAAAGATGATTTGTATGCTTAATTAAAACCTGTAAAAACGTTGCTTACTTTACTGATATGCCTATCAAATAATCAGTCTTTTGACTGAAGACTTTGTACCTTTTAGCGTTTTCATTATTTAGGCAATATCCTTTCAACAGCCTTTCAACAGTAATTGTATGTGTAAGTATATTATAACTCCCCTGTTATGCAGTGAATACACCCATTTCATTGGGTTGACATTGATCAACAATCTCCCACATCACTTTTCAAACCAGTGAAACGACGAAGGATTATCAAAGAGGCTCGCTAAAATGAAAAATCTTAAGACTCGTTTCATAAATCTCATATGACATGGAAACTCATGTAAAATCCTATATGATCAATGTATGAAAAAACTGAGCTTCTGAAAGCAGCTATCGTACATTGATCAATGGCCACAGTGTATAATTCAAATTGTATGGTCTCTCAGAGCTAGCCTTATAACCTAATCTTATCTCTAGCTATAGAATACTTACCTGCTGTCATTTGAAACTCATCTTCCAACGTTGGATTATTGTCATGTACAGTAATGGTAGAACTAAACGTCACACTTTTAGTCTGTGCATAGTTCATCCACTTTTGAACTATCTCATTGGGATCTGGTATGGTGTATACATTACCAAATGCTAAGAACTGGTCAGATGTGGACAAAATTTTATTCCAAATCATCACTTGACTTATTTTTCCAAGAAAAGATTGTCCCAAGAGTACTTGAAACCTACAGGAAAAAAAACAAAAAATTGCATTTTTATGAACGTTTTTTTTTTCGTATTTATTCATGTACTCATTTTTTTTTTAATTTTTAAGAATCCTTTCCAACAATTCAAAGTTTTCGTTTTCTTATACCATGACGATAATAAAACTAGAAAATGTCTGTAAGACATAAATGCCCCCGCTGCCATGTGAAATTAGTTTCAGTGCTCTATAAAAAGTTACAACTACTTTGATCTTGATGCCCTGAAACATGCACACACACAAGGTACTACACTTAAAGTTGACAAGTTGATTTTAATATTCATATGTTTTTTCTGTATGTTATTACCATCTGCATAACATATTGAATGAAGTTGCTAAGTGTTAAAATTGAATCAGTTAATGCTTTTCTATATATAGCAAGTGACCTTGGCCTTGACCTTGGAACCCTGAAACACAACAATGTCTGAAGTATACTCATACTTGACCTTTGCATAAAGTTTGACCAAAATCCATGAAAGAATGAAGTTGATAAGTGTTTAAATTGAATCAGTTGATGATTTTCTACATATAGCAACAGTGACCTTGGCCTTGACCTTGGAACCCTGAATAACAAGTATGTCAGAGGTATACCCATATTTGACCTTTGTATAAAGTTTGACCAAAATCTGTGAAAGAATGAAGTTGCTAAGTGTTTAAATTGAATCAGTTGATGATTTTCTATATATAGCAAGTGACCTTGGCCTTGACTTTGGAACACAACAATGTCCGAAATATACTCATACTTGACCTTTGTGTAAAGTTTGACCAAAATCTGTGAAAGAATGAAGTTGCTAAGTGTTTAAATTGAATCAGTTGATGATTTTCTATATATAGCAAGTGACCTTGGCCTTGACCTTGGAACACAACAATGTCCGAAATATACTCATACTTGACCTTTGTATAAAGTTTGACCAAAATGACCAAAATATCTGTCAAGTGTTTACATTCAATGGGGACGGGACAGGACGGGACAGGACGGGATGGGACGGACATGGGCAACACTATATGCCCCCCCCCATTTTATGGAGGGTTATACCTTCGTATAAAGTTTGACCAAAATCTGTCAAAGAATGAAGTTGCTAAGTGTTCACATTGAATCGGGACGGGTGTTTACATTGAATCGCGACGGGACGGGACGGACATGGGAAACACTATATGCCCCCCTCATTCCATGGTGGGGGCATAAAAAGCGGCCCAATGGGCCTGAACCACTGACTTGGAAACTAAAGCAATCATGGAACAAGAGGCCCAGAGGGCCTGTTTGGCTCACCTGTTTCTTTTGTTACATGAAACTGACATATAGGTAACTTCAGACTAAATTTGGTAACTAGAACACAACACATTTTAACATCTCTTAAACGATTCGATATTGTTGTTTGAAATTTGAAATTTTTATTTTAAAGCTTTTAACCCACTTTGACCTTTGACTCGGGCTAGCACTTAAAGTTGATATTTGACCTCATTACTGTAATAAAGAAAACAATTCACAGCTGGTCTACATAACATAACCATGTATCATGACTCTAGTCGAAATTGATTCTTAGCATATATATTAATTAATATTAACGGTAGTCGTTGGTCAGACATAAAATACTTAAATCAGTCAATAGCAATTTATAATACGACAGTTTACCCCTTCGGGAACCTCAAAGGTGCCCGATTCATACTCGGAACATCTTTAGGTTATATGTAATTCCCGTGGGAAATTTGGAACGCCTTTAGGTTTTATGCTATTCCTGTTTAAAAATGAAATTGATATCCGAGTTATCCAAGAGCTTGTAATAAGCGCCTGGTATATTCCGACAGAAGCAAGACACTTTTACTATTTTTCTTATCTGTAGGATTGAGGCATGTAAACAGTTGGTGCATCTTGTGGTAACTTTTGATCAGAACTTCATACTGCTGTGTATGATCTTGTTCTGTCAAAGTGAGGTGATTGTTTGACCTATATACTAGCACAGTCCTTAGGTGTAACAAGGGTAACCCAACTGTGAAATTTGAAACAGATCTGTTAATCATACTTCTAAGAAATAGTTATAACAAATTGGAACTGTTGAAATGCAAGATGGCTTCCTGGCAACAAGATTGTTTTTTCTGATCAGCCTCAAAATTAAACATGCACAACTTAGGACCTATGAAAATCAATATAGGAAATTTTATAAAGATCTGTCCATGCAGTACTTCTTAAGAAAAAGTGGTAACAAAATTGAACTGTCAATTTTCAAGATGACTGTTTGCATGGTTGCAATCCAGATATGCGTTACTAGGGATCATGAGAAAACTTCATGTGAAAGATCCCAAAGGGTGTTGATTGTGAGTGAAAAATTTTCAATTAATTTAAGACACAAGCTAAGGTTTACCAAGTGTCTTATACAATTTCAAATAAACAAATGTGAGTTAAATGAACATATATAAGAGGCCCATGGGCCCTAAAGGTCACCCGAGTTGTAATTGTTATATATGTTATTGTGATTAGACACAAAAAAATAGTACATATTAGCCAAATATGCCTTTTTGACAGTTGTTTCTTTGACAAAATGATGTTGGAGAGTGACATACATAGATCATATATGATATATAGCTGGCTAACTTCAGAATAACGGAAATGATAAAATCGTATAACAAAGTCAAATTTACCCTCAACCCAGGGAGAAATAGTTGACCTATGGGTAGGGAAATACACAATTTTAATAAAGCACCTTCGGACCTTTACATCCTTGAAAAGGGATAGGTTTCAGCATATCTTGGTCTGAAAAGAAGACTGTTGAAATTTTAGCCAATTTGACCCCTTTTAGGTCTCGTCTCTCAGGCCCTTTAAGGGACGAGCTCAAGTTAAGTGTCCTAATATTGATAACATCAAACTGCAATCACATGATATTCCAACCAAGTTTGAATTATCGTTCAGTGAAAATAAGAGAGAGAAAAAAAGAAAATAAAAGTGTTATTTCTCTATTAAAGCTAGAGCAGTCTTAACCCTCTCCCCCAGGGGGGAACAGGTGACTTGGTAATGAAAGGGCAGGACCTGACCCATGAGCTAATCCTGGTAGCATGCTTGTATCTGTCTCTTCATGCCCAGCTATTGTATGATGTGGGTATAGGTTGTGGGTTATAGGTTCCAATGTTATGATCCACAGACTAAGTCTACAGGGACATGGACGAATCCCAGCACAACCATTGTAGCTTGAGTGCATATGTCTCATAATGCTCAGCAATTGTAAAAAATAATATGGTTTTAGATTTGGGATCTCAATCATATTCATGTTATGATCCAAGGCTTTGGTCACCAGCAGTCGAAAGGACCCTACAGGAAATCATGGTAGCATGAGTATGTTTGTCTTCTCATGCCCAGTAGTTACAACAGAAATAAATATACTTTTTCTATTTTATCAACAATATAAGTGCCAAGGTGGTCTTAAACTTTGGAAGAACTAGAGTGGTCAGAGAAAACATGCATGGCCATCAGGAAGGCACCCTGCTACCTTTTCATATTTGAGTAGGAAATAAAATCTGACCATCTTGGTAAAAGACAAGTGCACTATCCATTGTGTCATCCAACCACTCTATAATCCAAGGAGTAAGTCTACAGGGGCGGGGCTATCTGTCCCCAGGATTTGCACTACCTTCATTTAATTCTAAAAAGTTGCATTGCCCCATGACATCAGATGAAAAATAATTGGTTAATAAAAAATAAAAATAAAAATTGGTAAGATTAGGCATTTAAATTAAAACCTCTATTTTCCCTTCTTTGGCCCTGCCCTTTTTCCCCCTGGGGGGCATATTCACATCAAATTTGGTGCCAATCTGTGGAGTCATATTGGAGGTATAGGCTTTTGAAGTGAAAGTTGATGATGGCCAACAGATGACAGATGCTGTGCCATCTCACAAGCTCTGCCTGGCCAGGTGAACTGAAACCTATCTATTTATACCAAACCCCCTTACCGAAGTGTGACTGAGGTGTACTCATCTGTTCAATTAAATTGGCTATTAAACTCATCTTGAACTACTTAATGAGGTGATACAATAGTACATTACTTTTTTAACCACATTTTCACTCACACTTTTGAAAATGACCGCGGCACAGTCTGCGTAAAGGGATCCTTGGGAGTTGAGTCCAGTTTAACATAGGTTGTACCGTTTTTGTGATAAGTCACTGATACATGATGCCAGATCTTGTCACAGATGTTCTTCCCAAACTCCACCATTTTTAAGTCAGTACCATTGTCAAAAACTACACCTTCATTAGTCACTTTCAGCAAATAATTAGAAGTAGGAGGAGAGTCCATCCAGCCTGGTTCTTGGTGATGAATATCTCTACAGAAACAAGAAACAATAAAGATTAAGATGGTAATGTGATATGTAATATTAAATTATTGTTCATATATAACTACAGTGATATCCCTGTCTTTTGATTTATAATGTATATATTTGTTTTGAATTGTCATATGTGAGGTTGTGTTGATACATTTATTTCTGAATGATTTAATGTTAAATGTATATAATTATTAATAGAATCTTCTCTTACCTTTAGGGTGTGAAAGAGAAATCTCCTACTCAAGTAGTGATCTTTTTTGGTTGTCTAACCTGAGGCTCTGCTGAGGGTAAGACAACCCAAAGAAATCACCCAGAGGGTTGGAGATTTCACTGTTACACCCTCAAGGGAGGGGATGCTTATTTTTCTCCCATCCCAATATTTCAGTAACAACTCAACCGACAGTAGTCTGCCATGTTTGTAAACAAAACAAGAGGCCCAGAGTGTCTGTATCGCTCACCTGAATATTTAAGCAGTCATAGCAATATATTGTCATTAAATATTATATTGCACTACAAATATTTCCCACGCAAACTTTGTTGGCTCCATCTGTTAAAACTACCAGCCAAATATTATTATAAGATTCTATATTTTTTGGTTCTTCTTCAGAAGTTGCTTGACATATTTTCCCCTGTGACCTTGTAAGTAGGTCAAAGTCATTGTCCTTCTCAAACTTTGTAAGCTTTATCCCAAAAAGCTACCAGCCAAATCTTATGAACCCATTCCTTTTGGTTCTTCAGAACAAATCCTTTGAAATGATGTTGACCCCTGTGACCTTTAAAGTAGGTTGAGGTCATTTTCATTTACAAACTTTGGTGAGCTCTATCCAAGGAAGCCACCAGCCAAATATTATAATTTTATGCCTTTCGATTTTCGGAGAAGTCGTTTGATATTTTTGACATACTTAATACCTGTGACCTTGAAAGTAAGTTGAGGTCATTTTCATTCTCAAACTTTGTCGGGGTCTATCTCAGGAAGCCAACAGCCAAATATGAAGGTTCTATACCATTTAGTTCTTCAGAAGAAGTTGTTTAAAGAGTTTGACATATTTGACCGCTGTGACCTTGAAAGTAGGTTGAAGTCATTTTTATTCTCAAACTTTGTCGATCTTTATCCAAGGAAGCCACCAGCCAAATATTATAATTTTATTCCTTTTGATTATTCAGAAGTCGTTTGATGTTTTGGACATATTTAATATCTGTGACATTGAAATTAGTTCAAGGTCATTTTCATTCTCAAACTTTGTCAGGCTCTTTCTCAGGAAGCCAACAGCTAAATATGAAGGTTCTATACCATTTAGTTCTTCAGAAAAGGTCGTTTAAAGAAATTGACATATTTGACCGCTGTGACCTTGAAAGTAGGTCAAAGTCCTTTTCATTCTCAAACTTTGTTGGGCTCTATATCCAAGGAAGCAACCACCAAAATATAAAGATTCTATACTTTTCAGTTCTCCAGGAGAATTTGTTTTAAAAGTTTGGCACATTTGATACCTGTGACATTGAAAGTAGGTCAAAGTCATTTTCATAATCAAACTTTGTCAGGCTCCATCCTAGAAAGCCATCATCCAAATATGAAGATTCTATACCTTTTAGTTCTTCATGAGAAGTCGTTTGAAGTGTTTTGACATATTTGACCGCTGTGACCTTGAAGGTAGGTCAATGTCCTTTTAATGAGGAAACTTAATAGCATTCCATCACAGGTACCTATTAGCAAAATATTATGACCCTGGGGCTTATGGAACTGGAGAAGAAGACTGTTAAAGTTTTCAACATATTTGACCCCTGTGACCTTGAAAGTCGGTCAAGGTAATTTTAATCAGTAAACTTTATAGCACTCTAACCTAGGTACCTACTGGCAAAATATCATGACCCTATGCCTTATGGAACTTGAGAAGAAGATTGTTAAAGTTTTTGACATATTTGACCCCTGTGACCTTGAAAGTAAGTCAAGGTCATTTTAAAGAGAAAACTTTATAGTAGTCTATCACAGGTACCTACTGGCCAAATATCATAACTCTAGGCCCTCAAGTTCCTCAGAAGAAGTCGCTCAAAGAAAAAGTTGACGGACCGACAGACGAATGATGCACGATGCAGTACGGAGGGCCATGTGAGCTAAAAACATTACCGTATTTATCCAACAATAAGTCCATGCTTGGTAATAAGCCCACCAATATATATTGCAGTTAGAATGAAAAGCTTCCCCATTGTCCTGTAATAAGCCCATCCCTCTACTTTCAGTCAGAGATTATGTGTTGGCCCCCTGGGCTTATTGCAGGATAAATATGGTAGTATGGGTGACATGTTTTCTCACTAGTCACCATTTCTTACCCTTCCAGGAGAAGAAGAAATATCAAATTATTTTCCATTGTCATAAAGTAGGTTTTATCTATGGGGGATTATGTTGCTGTTGTTTTGTCTGAACTAAATTATGCAGAAATGTCTGGATAAACGTTAATTATCACAATCATCCAAAATACGCTGTATTTACAGATAAGAAACCATGCAAAGGTGAAATTACCTTATTTCTCACCATGGCAATAAATTAAGAGGGCCTATGTATTCACAGGATGATGGTCTTACCTTTCTTCCAATGCAAGGATAATAGGATTGTTGTAGGTGTCATTACTACACAGCACCCACAGCATCACAGAAAACATGTCAGCATTGGAGAACACAAAGGGATTATTCAAATAGGTTCCCCTAGTGTCTACCATTCCATCCACAGATAATTCACCAATTGGTGCTGAACCTAAAAACAATCAAGTCATCGATGAAATTGATCAAAGGTGTATTCAGACACAAAATTTAATTTACACTGTTGGTGACTTAGACTTGCATTTTAGATGATTTATACTGTTACATTGTAGATGATGTATACTGTTACATTGTTGATGATGTATGCTGTTACATTGTAGATGATTTATACTGTTACATTGTTGATGATGTAAACTGTTACAGTGTAGATGATTTATACTGTTACATTGTTGATAAATTTAATTTACACTGTTGGTGACTTAGACTTGCATTTTAGATGATTTATACTGTTACATTGTAGATGATTTATACTGTAACATTGTAGATGACTTATACTGTTACATTGTAGATGATGTATATCGTTACATTGTAGATGATGTATATCGTTACATTGTAGATGATGTATATCGTTACATTGTAGATGATTTATACTGTTAGATTGTTGATGATTTATACTGTTACATTGTTGATGATGTACACTGTTACATTGTTGATGATGTATACTGTTACATTGTAGATGATTTATACTGTTACATTGTATATGATGTATATCGTTACATTGTAGATGATGTATATCGTTACATTGTAGATGATTTATACTGTTACATTTTTGATGATGTATACTGTAACATTGTAGATGATTTATACTGTTACATTGTAGATGATTTATACTGTTAAAGTGTAGATGATGTAAACTGTTACATTGTAGATTATGTATACTGTTACATTGTTGATGATTTATACTGTTACATTGTAGATGATGTATATCGTTACATTGTAGATGATGTATATCGTTACATTGTAGATGATGTATATCGTTACATTGTAGATGATTTATACTGTTACATTTTTGATGATGTATACTGTAACATTGTAGATGATTGATACTGTTACAATGTTGATGATTTATACTGTTACATTGTTGATGATTTATACTGTTACATTGTTGATGATGTACACTGTTACATTGTTGATGATGTATACTGTTACATTGTAGATGATGTATACTGTTGCATTGTTGATGATGTATACTGTTACATTGTAGTTGATTTATACATTACATTGTTGATGATGTATACTGTTACATTGTTGATGATTTCTACTGTTACATTGTAGATGATGTAAACTGTTACATTGTTGATGATGTATACTGTTACATTGTAGTTGATTTATACATTACATTGTTGATGATGTATACTGTTACATTGTAGATGATTTATACTGTTACAGTGTAGATGATGTAAACTGTTACATTGTAGATGATGTATACTGTTACATTGTTGATGATGTATACTGTTACATTGTAGATGATGTATACTGTTACATTGTAGATGATGTA